GGGGAAGGAACAACTGAGCCTGTGCTGGACTGGTGGATTCTTCAACAAATCCGGATGAAAGAAAGTCAGCCCAGGAAGGGGTAGTGGGCCGGCCGCAATCATTGCTCCTGGACTGCGGTGCCGACTTCATTGCGTGTTGTATTCTCCGCTTTTTTCCAAGAGCAGAGTCCGGCTCGTCATCATCATCGTGTTCTCCAAGCCCGGTAAATCCAATGTCCTCAAACCGTGACCAAGATGCATCGCCGAGACTCGTTGAAGCTTTGGTGTTTGATACGGCTGACTGGTTAGCCGAAGAGATGCTCTTCAATACCCGTCGACACTCGTCAGTCAAAGCCTGTACAGGGTCTTCAAAGTCCGAAAACTGTTGTAACACTTGATCGTCGTCTCGATATTCGAAATGCTTGGCGCGACGTAGCAAAGCAAAGGGAGTTGGTGAGACAGAGTTGACGACCATGACCACTTTTGCCGTAGCTTCGAATGGCGGGTATGCTGGTGGATACTGGGTGTCCCGTACCAGAGTTTGCAGAGACAGTGGCAATGTTGATATCCCATTAAAACCTCGAACAGAGTCGGGAGAGAGTGAACGCAGGTACGCGAAGAACAAATGGCTCGTAGCATCAGCGGCGCTGTCTCTTTGTCAACATTCGTCAATTGAAGTAAGGGTTTCCCACGAACCTTGACCAAGACTTGTAGCCTCCATCAAAGCCATTGCCCGCATCTATCTGTTCGAAAGCCCACCAGCCGGCTAACCTTGACAGCTTTCGACCGCCCATGCCATTCGTCTTGCCATGAGCCGCTATGGCAGCCATCAGGTCGAAGAAGTCGAATATGATCTTTGTTCGTGCGTCGGACTCAACGCTGAGAGGCATGAAGGTGGCGAAGGCATCCCGAGCCATATCAGAATCTTGCTCTCCAACTTTGAAAAGCTCGTATGCATCCCAGGTTACCACTCCACCAGCCAATCTGCTCCAACACCATTTCATGACACTGCTGAGGACCTATATACTAGTCAGCATTCCTTCTTCAAGTCACGGAACCCGGGCAAAAACCCCGAGTAGGGAGACGCCTCGTAGGGGCATCAAGAGTCTTCTGCTCGAAAGCCATGTCCTGCCCATCGCAAGGGTCCCGGAATCATTCCTTGTTGAAGACAAAGACCCAAGCAATGAGACAGCTCGAAGTGCATGTGGAACGGCTTCTTGCTCCCAGTACATATCTTGCGCAACCCGTCGAGTGGTCGGGAGTCGGACTAAGCTGCTCCAGAGTTGTACATACCATCGGTTCCGTTAACATCAATTCTTGGTCCAAGCGCTCTCCTTTTAGATCGGTACCCCTTTCCATGCTGAAGAAGTTCCGGATGAATGTGCGTGCTGCGCTGGGATCCGATGCTGGTCGGAACGGTAAGAGGAGGAACGGCATATCCAAGGCTCTTGACTTCAGTTCATTTGTGCAACCCCTCAATAATTCCTGTATTTCTTCCGGTTCCACCTCCTTTCGTGTCCAAGCATCCCCTCCCCAGAGTGGTTTTGGCGGTGGGACAGGAACGACGGCGCCATTTGCTTGGGTATTAGCCTTCTTCTTTGACCTAGGCGCAGCCACTCCACCCCCCTCCTTGTCCTTGCTCCGGAGCTTCGAAAATAATCCCATTTTGGACACCTGTGGGATTATGTGCGACCTTGAGTATCGCTTATGGGCATGGTGTCTGATGAATCATGTGGTAGGAACGATTTGTGTGCGCCAACGATCGAATTGTTTCTGGAGGCCTGCGGTCACCAGACAGTCGCCAAAGTGAGGCGAGTAGCCGTTGAAATGCTTGAGGGGCCTGTGGCTCGGCGCGCCGTGAATTGATTGATTGATTGATTGATCGACTGACTGATTGCCTCGATGGAGCTCGGTCTATGTCTGGTGCTCACGCTGGCGGTGCATGCTTACCTTACATTGCTTGGTCTCGATAGGTAGGATGGCAGGTCCATACTTTAGCAATTCATGAGCCTGAAGAAAATGATCATGACGATGCTTCTTACAAATTATAAATTTCAGGGGGACCATTGGGGGGGAAAGGCCAAGGGTCTCACATAGACGCGTTAATCTGCTGGGTCGCGCCAATCAAATGTTTCAGGGCCATCGGACGCTAGGCCCCGGACACGTTTCACCGACCTGGGTTTCTCTTGGCGTCCCAGGGGGGAGGGGTGTCCATGGGTCTGTGCTTTCAGTCACTCTCAAGTCTTAGTGTTGAAGAATAAAGTCAAACAATCACTATCATCCCACGGTACACATGTGATTGAGGTCATCAAATCAGTAAACTCAGCGAAGCCGATCGACTTGCTCCACTTGCTAAGCATTGTGGCCCTTCCCGCAATATCTGCAGCCAAGCGATTCTGATCTCCGCGATTTCCAGGGTTACGAATCCCAGCGCTTTGTGGGCGTTACCCATTGATGGACATTGTCTAGGGGACTCATAAGTGGCCTGTAAAGGGGAAGCTCAATTTAAGAGAGCCAGGGAGGCACTATAGCTTGCCCGCGTAAATGACACTTCTCTGAGAAACAAAGAGCCCGCTATTCGTCCACTCCATTTCACGAGATTTATAATGTGCATGTGTAGCCTATATCTAGATATTAATCTTTTGATTCGAATGGCCTTCTCTTCTAGTTCCCAGCTACTGGCCAATGCCAATGGAGTTCCCTCTTGCCTCTCGAGCCCGTGAAGTCGCGATGTCATTCACGTCGATATTTCTTGGCTCTTTGAAGTCGAAGCACTTGATCTCCTCAGATGTGTGCATCGATACTGGTCTGTGTGTATTTTACGCCGAAATCCTGCACAGTCCATTAACACATCGAATATTTTTAAATTCTCAGCCCAGCATGGTGAAAGATAATGAGACTGTTGTTGAGTGCGTTGTCTTCGATCCCGACCATGATGCTGCGCTGACGCAAATCAGAGAATGCAATATGCTTGTCAACATGACAGCCGGAGAGCTAGAAAAATGGTTGAGGGAGGAACAATAGGAAATTGCGGGCTGGGATAAGGGAGACGGATCTGGCGAGACCATTGGTCATGAAAGGTAAGAGGGGGCAAAAGTGTAAGACCGACCATGTGATCTCACAAGAACTGGCAGCGGCCGCAAGATTATTGAAATCTTGAAGACAAATCCCGAGAAAGATCCATCCAGGTATGAGGAATATGATCTTGGTCATATGAGAAAAGTAGTGAGCTACTGCAAGCGCCACCTTGCCCAGGAGGAGAAAGCCAAACAGGACACCAATAGCAAAAGCAGAAGACTAAACACACCTCCACCATTGGACCAGCGCCATTAGGCACTGAACCTAATAATGAATAAAGCCTCCGCGAAACAAAAGCTACAAGTCCTTGAAAAACTGTATTAGTAAAGACCTCTCCGTACTCCTCACACATATCATTCAAATAGGGGTTTACTCTGAAAGAGTTACTGCTTATTCACAGTTCGTGTAGGGGGTCACGATGCGCAAAGGTCATAGCTGGAAGAGCAGATGGCATGAAGGCTGCTACAGTAGTTCAAACCAGTCAACGACGCATAGCAGGGTACTAGAGAGAAACCCAACTGTTTCATACAGAAATACGAATTCTAGCCCGTATCTTGGCCGTTTTCTAACTCATCAGCCCCATGCCGTCAGTATGAGAATAGAAACTGTTTTGGTGTACTGATTGCAGTCCGTCCAATTCGGAATTTAGTTTGAAGGAGACAACAGCGCAGGATTCATGATACTGTGTAACGTATTTGAAGATCAGGATTTGGGAAGATATTTCTCTGGCCCAAGATGTCATTGATGCAAGGACATGACGCTCGATCTATTGTCGATCCACAAGCGCCGTCTGCTCACGTTTGTTGTTCCTTGATCATGACGAGCACGGTAAACTGGCGTCGAGATCCTTCAGAGGATACTGTAAAATAGGTGGTGGCTAGAAATAGATACCTAGCTTCCGCGACTAATGAACATGGGTGGGCTGGTAGGTCCAACCTTGAAAAGAGCCGCATCAGATATCAATGTCGTCGAGCGCCCCTCTTTCCAGTCCGTGTGGATCTGAAGCTACGAGTATCGTGTCATGCCGTAGTGCAAGATATGTAGCATAGTTGGGACATATGAAGCTTCACTGGCCGCAATTTCTACGAATAGCACAGGGTTGGTGGTCGGTGGTCGGCATTTCGAGTGCAAACGTGCTTGAGAGACTACGCTACACGGCAAAGACAGCTGACACGGAGTTCAGCCTTTGAAGCTTGCCTAGGTACTGTGACTCGAGGGATCAACGTCATTCTGATGGAACTGTATGAAAAGAGTGAAAGGTCAGCAGAGCTGGCGGGAGAATGGTCCAGCTCCTACGCTCGAGTCGCACGGACGCATCCCGCTGAGACTGTAGTAACAGCTTCTCCAAAGAATTGACCATACGCGATACTGGGTACGGGCCAAATACAATTGTCGATGGTGATAGTTCCATAGATTTGAGCGCTGTGTTGAAGTTGTCCAGAGGAGATCTTCAACAAGGCTATGCCTGAAGGAGTGAATTAGCCGTCCTTTTCTCACACAGGGAGGGGTCTGATTGGACCTTGGCGGTGAAATTATGGCACTGAATCCCAGCAGTTGGCTGTTTTCAGGGCTATTAATAGTCTTTGAGATGGGAAAGGATAAGCGTCAAACATTGCCAAGGAAGACTACGGAGTAAAAGAGGTGGATTTTGAGGCCAACCTTTCTGGCGTTTCTGCTGTCTTTTATTATTAGAACAGGCAGTCAAAACAACTTAGGCAAAATCTAGAGCTCTGATCATATATCCTCGCTGCTCTGCAAAAGCGCAATTCATACCAAGGATATCATTTCTAGAAACCACTTGAGTCGGAAACGGTCGCCCGTCCAGCCACGCCACTCTACACGACACAGGTTTCTTTCATCTGCGACGTCTTCGAGTCGTCTACTTCTCATCACTCTCCCTCCGAACCCCACCACCCACTACTGTCTTACTTACCACAACCGCTATGGGGAGACGGAAGATCGAGATTAAAGCGATCAAGGACGACAGAAATCGATCTGTGTAAGTCAATAACCCCTTACTACTGTGCGCTGCGCAATCCACCGGGCCAGCTTCATCAAGAAGCTACCACACGCGCCACCAGAAAATGTAGCAGTTGCAGTGTTAGAAATCGCCTGAATGTTGACGATATGAGCCCCAATATTGAGGATCATGGTCCACAAGACATTCTCGTCCCTCTATTTCTGCACGTCGATTGACAGGTTTTCTTGGCTTGGTACCTACGAGTGCACAAGACACTCACCCTTTCCGGCAGCTTGCCTACACCCTACACCCCGTTTGCTATTTCACATGCATGCAACCTCAAAGCTAGATCGATCAGCGTGCCAGTAAATACATTTGCTAACTGTCCCTTTCAGTACTTTCCTCAAGCGCAAAGGCGGCCTGTTCAAGAAGGCCCACGAGCTCTCAGTCCTCTGCTCCGTCGATGTCGCTGTCATTATCTTTGGTCACAACAAGAAACTATACGAATACTCATCCGGCGACATAAATGAGACAATCGATCGATTTCACTTCGTAAGTGCCAACACTTTGGTCTTGGTCTCGAGGCTAACGACCCTGACAGTATGGTGGCGCACATGAACACAAGGGCCCTGGAGACTTCAACGGAGGGGGTATGGACGATGAGGACGATGATGAGATGGGCACACCGCCGCTAGAAGATCCAATGCCACGAGAGCACAGTCTTCCTCCACATCTACAAAACGCAACGAGCTACATGAGAAACGCATCTCCTCCTATCCAAGTTGTCCCAAATGGCGTCCCATACCAAAGACAGCATACCCCTCAGGGTCAAATGATTTCGCGACCGGGATCGAGAAACAGCATACCCAATGTACGCCGTATGAGTGGAAGCGTTGGTCCAGGTCCCTCCCATCTCCAGCAAGTCAGCCAAGCCCCCCAAGCTGCCAATGGCTATGCCTACACGCGACAGCCTCCATCAATGTACAACACTCAAGCGGCTCAAGGCATGCCAGTCGCACCCCATCACCCTCAACAGCAAGCCCAACAAGCCCAGTATTACGGTCAACTCCAACAAGCAGCTGCACCACATGCTCAAGTGCAGCAGGCGTACTTGCAAGAGCAAAGAAGACAGTCATTACCGCCTGCATTCCCCCAGCACGAGCGCCAACAGCAGCAGCAACAGCACATGCCCTCCCCACCACAACCCGAACGCGAGCCGTCTCAAGATGATCAATCGAACCGCCTCCAACAGCCCCAGCCAGCCAAATCCCGAAGCATTTTCACCCCCATTGACGATAGTCGATCACTGTTGGCTCAGCATTGGGGTATTGGCAAAAGTACCATTGAACCCAAGTCGGACATAAAGCGCGAAAATGACCCACACTCAGATGCACGAAACCAAGCCTCAAAGCCTACACCTTCGTCAAGGTTGCAGAGAGAGGCTCCAGTTCCTAAGAGAACAAACTCGATAGAATTCCCTCCCCCATCGCGATCAAGCACCGCCCAATCGAACGCGAAGAGACCGAGGCTCAAGGTCCAAATACCTGAGGAGCAATCAGATGCCGACAGTGCTACTGCTTCTTCACCCCGTCAGTCCGCAGTTACCACTAGTGATACACCAGCGAAGAGCACTGAAGCAAGTCATTCTTCCGGTACCGGTGTTGTCTTACCACCTCCATCGCCAAGTGCGAGCGCTATACTGAGCGCAGGCGCATCTGGTCCCCCGAATCCATTTGCTCGGCCGCATCCGCCAGGAGGGCCTTCGCAAGGTCAATCCTACAGCAGTAACAACAACAGCATTGAAACCCCCATATCAGCATTGCCATCACGATTTGTCGCTGACGGCTTACTCCCCTCGCCATCATCCTTCTACCCAGAATGGAATTTTGGCCGTTCGGGAGGCGACAGCAACCTTCTCCCGAGCCCCCTAAACCTCCAAACACCGGTGATGGGTGGATCAAGTTTTAGGGACGAGGATGGAGACCGGAAGAGGAAGAGCCCAGACCAGGAGGGCCAGGAAGCGGCCAAAAGGGTCAAAACGTGACTCAAAATTACCATTCTTGCGGGAGTCGTGCTGAAAAGACTGTTTGGGTACGATAAGGAGTTGCATGTACCGCCATGTTTCTGTATGACCTTATGGATCGAATGGTCGGATACCCAGATATCTTCACGCTCGCTTTAGCGATTTCTGATTGAGCATGCATTCTTGTCTTCTTCGTACACAGCTAGCCAGTTACTCTGTACACTCGGCTTTGAAAGGAGCCCCTTCACTGTGTCAATATCGAGATCTTACATATTGACAAGTTGGTGTTCATTTGCGTATCATATCCCTTACCCGCATAGTCAGGTGAAGACCTCGTAGTACATCCCATCTCAAGACTCTCTCTCCCGAGACCTCTAGCAGAACTTCACTTCCACAATTGAATATCTAATTACATATATGTAAAATACTTTACCGTTTGACATAATGACATTTCTACATGTACTTTATTGTTGTTACGCTAGCGATATCAAGCAATCAGACAAGCTTTTGAGATCCGCCAAATCAAGTAAGATCGATGACCCGTATCGGCTGATGGAATCTTCGGGTTTAGTAAATGCCGAGGCGCAAACATTTTTGCTCATTGTCCCTTTTTTGCCTCCAATGTTGTCGTTACCCTTCCGACATCGCTCTCACATGCATCGTGAGTCACAGCTCCCTCAGGACACAAAGGGCCACTCTGTGCACTCGGAGACTGCGCGCCACTTTTCGGTCACAATCAAACTGTGATACCTTCAATACCTTCATTTGTCATGTCATCAACAGTTGAAGAACCCTCTCAGGCTGAGCGCCTCGAAGATGTCGCCGTGGCAGGAGTGGGAGCCGATGATAAAGAAAGCGTTGGTGATCCATTATCAGAAACTGCTCCCAATGGGTCGGTTGAGAGACCCTCGAATGGATCAGATGAAGTCATGGAGGCGAAGGAGGATGCAGCGGTAGAAGAGAAGCCACCAATACCACCGCAAGCACCGGAGCGGAGCAAAGGGAAGGTTGCGTTGATTATGGGATCGCTCATGGTGAGGGAAACTGAGTTTGGGAAGTTCGAATGCGAGCATTGCTAATTAAGGGTTCAGATCGCTGTGTTTCTTGCTGCTCTAGATACCGTGAGACTCGCGCATATCCTCCACCCGTATTTCCACTGACACCTACCAAGACTATCATCACAACTGCCGTCCCGACGATCACCGCACATTTCCACTCTTCGGAAGCCGATTACACATGGATAGGATCCTCCTACCTTCTGGCAGCGGCAGCAGCGACGCCTACATGGGGGAAGATCAGTGATATCTGGGGTCGCAAGCCAATCATATTGGTGGCCAACGCTGTTTTCTTCGTTGGCTCTCTCATATCGGCTTTGAGTATCAACGTTCAGATGCTCCTTGCGGGTCGAGTCATTCAAGGAACAGGAGGTGGAGGCTTGATCATTTTAGCTAATATTTGCATAAGCGACTTGTTCAGCATGAGGTATAATCCATTCTCCCCTAGGTCACGGATGCTGAGGTTAATCAATTTCACAGAGATCGTGGCAAATATTTTGGGATGATTGGGGCCGTTTGGGGCATTGCAAGTGCTGTCGGTCCAATACTCGGAGGTATCTTCACAGAGAAAGTCTCGTGGCGCTGGTGTTTCTACATCAACCGTATGTCTCCATCTGCCTTCCATCTCTGGGCTCGGATCCCGCTAATGTCTCCTCAGTTCCCTTTGATGGTATTGCCTTCGCCATCATTGTCATCTTCCTCGACATTGAAACACCAAAAACACCCATCCTAGACGGCTTGAAAGCCATTGACTGGCTCGGTGTCATACTCGTAACCGGCGGCACTGTCATGTTCCTCCTTGGCCTCGAATATGGCGGTGTATCCTTTCCCTGGTCCTCCGCCACAGTCGTCTGCCTACTGGTATTTGGCGTCGTCACCATTGTTCTCTTCTTCATCAACGAATGGAAAGTGGCCAAATACCCCATGATGCCACTCCGCCTCTTTTCCAAACTTTCCAACCTCGCTGCGCTAGGGGTCTGCTTCGTTCACGGCATGGTATTCATTTCCGGCGCCTATTTTTTCCCTCTCTACTTTCAGGCCGTCCTCGGCGCCAACCCCATTCTGAGCGGAGTCTACCTTTTTCCCTTCGTGATCTCTCTCTCCTTCACCTCCGCCTTCGTCGGCATCTTCATCAAGAAGACAGGGCACTACCTCCCGCCTATCTGGCTCGGACTGTTCTTCATGACTGTTGGCTTCGGTCTCTACATCGACCTCCCTGTCGGTCGTACTTGGGGTCGCATCTTTCCCTTTCAAATAATAGCCGGTATTGGTGTGGGACCAAACTTTCAGGCACCTCTTATAGCCCTACAAACCCTTGTGCCTCCGAGGGATATCGCAACTGCCACAGCGACCTTTGGTTTCATTCGCAATCTCAGTACCTCCATCTCCGTTGTCATTGGCGGCGTCATCTTCCAAAACGCAATGAAAAAGCGCGAATCGACCCTAATCGCAGCTACGAACCAGCAAATCGGCTCTGCACTCGGTGGTGGTGGCGCAGGTGCCGCTACATCAGTCGTGAAGAGTCTCCCAGAGCCAGGTAGACATACAGTGAGAGCCACCTATGTGGCAAGTCTACGAGAGATGTGGATCTTCTACGTTTGCGTTGCAGTAGTTGGGCTGGCCCTGAGTCTATTCATCAAGAAGAAGACGTTGAGCAGGACGCATGAAGTGACAAAAACGGGCTTAGCGGCGGAAGAACACAATCGGATGGAGAGGAAACAGGAAGCTGAGAGCAAGAGGGCTAGCAAAAGGGCGTCTGGTATGAACGGCAGGAAGAGTGGGGATTTTACTGGTGCGACGGGGACAGCGACGACTCAAATCACGGATGCGGAGAAGACAAACGGCGACAACAACGTCTAAACTGGCCGAAGACGTTCAGTGTATGATGAGCATAGCTGGCGAGGACAAGCATCTGCGATGAGCGTGCATTCCAAGTCCTGCTTGGATGCTGGAGATATTTCACGACTTCACTCCCTTGAAATTTTTGAACATAGATTATAGTATCAGTTATGTGTAATATAGTTCTAGTATCATGGCATCAGACCCAACTTCCGGTGAATTCTGTGGCCTGTCAACGGCCTGCTGATCCAGGAAGGGAAAGTGTGCAAAGCTATGGGTAAGAATACGGAGAAGATCATATCCAACACGAGATAAGCGCGCGTTCAATACGAGGAAAAGTGTCTGTTGTCGAATCACGACGTAGATTTTCCTGAAGAGACCCGTTGGAATCCTTCGTGGCTCCATCAAGCTGGAGCATTCGGCCTAACCGTAAGCTGGGTGAATCGGTGTACAGCCAACAACCCAACAGACCAACCCTCAGCTGAAGGGTATTGATTATCAAATCCCTTAATATTTCCGTGCTATATAAGAGAAGCATGCCTCCGTTTCCTTCGTTCTGTTTCGTCGCACGAAAAATGTTCTTGGCCACTGGGACAGAAGGCTTTGCAGGTGGCATGAGCCACGAAAAGCAACACCAACGCCATCGAAGGCGGCTAGATAAGTATAGATACCAGGTCAGCTTTTCTTTTGTGGACTTTTATCCAACACTTCCCATCTGCCAGATGAGTATGCAAGAGAATTGTCACGCGTCTAATAGTGGAGCATATGTTGTACGATGAAGGAGGAGTACAGAGCATATCATTGGCAATGCGACGACGCCTTCTTGCTGCATGTCAGCGTCTTGAATGCGAGATTGCGACAGCCCCGAACATGTCCAAAATTTGCATCATTTACCGTCACCACGGAGCACGGCAAGGTAAGATGTTGATGTTCTGACAAAAAGAAGAATAACAGAAGTCAGGGTCTCTGAATAGGTGTGCAGTGTTTTGGTTTCATCGCGTTGCGCTCATACCAGATACAAGATGTTTATTATTTACATTCCGATCAGGGCTGCCAGGTACGGGGGAGGAGAGAGTCAGCGGATTGGAGGCAGTCATCGCCATCGGCAATCATCGACCTCGGTCTCCAGCCCAAAAGAAGGACAACGAATCATCTTGACGTTTCCGGCGCACTGCCAAACACAATCACGCACGACATAAACTGGCGATTGGAGAAAGGGGCATTCGCTTGTGTTAAGAGACTTAAAAGGCCGCATGGAATCCTAGCGCCAAGCCCCTTAGCGAAATTAGCTACCCCTACCCCTGGATTCGTTTTCCTGCCTACCTCCCCCCCCACACGTCTCACCTCGTCGTCGCCGCTGTCTTCTCTGTCGTTCTTACTTCATTGCCTTTCTTTACTATCTTGGAACAGAAATCAAGTCACTCATTTCTTGATCTCTGCTTCTTTCCTCGAAACCAACACTCTTTTACAGTCCCATTCACTCCTTAAACATCCAAACATATCGCTTCTAGAACGCGCTGGCCCCAGGTTCAATAGCAGGTACGACCTAAACGCACCCCGTTTCATTGTTATCAATACCGCCACCCTCAGCCACGTGTGCTTGCTTCGCATTGTCGGGCAGCCAAAGGAGCATGACTGTTCCATTCACTTCGAGTCTCGGCCTTTGTCCCTTGCCCAACCAATGTAGAATTCGAACTGCCTGATCCTACATACAAACATTCACTCCGCCATAGCCTTGAATTCACTCTGCCTCAGCTCCCTATTGTACTCTTCAAGTACTGTCCAGTCTCTTCAATTGTTCACGTTGCTTCCGAGGCTTTGCTACTCTTAACGTTACACTCATTTACCAAACACCTTATCGCTGACAACACTCCTTTCAGACTCACTTCCACTCAATCTTCGCATCTAGCAAACCTATCTATCATCAGCGTCATCATTACCCACACATAGCTTCCGCAATACTTAGCAATTATACATCGCAATGCAACTTTCATACCAGGCTTTGGTCCTGGCGGCCCTGAGCCTCGAATGCGTCCTTGCTCATCCGACGCACCATCAACTACATAAGCACAGGCGAGACCTTGCTGACCTGCTTCACCAGAAGCGTACAGACTTCAGCGACCCGGCCACCTATGCCCCCGGAACCTTTCAAGATCTTGATTGGGCGTCCATATGCGCCGGAGGCAAATGCGATCCCAGCAGCAAGTCTTCTAGCCCGGCCCCAGCAAATCCAGCCCCAGCAAATCCAGCTCCAGCAAACCCAGCCCCAGCAAATCCAGCACCAGCCAGCGTACCCGAAACGGGGTCAGGGACTGTGGGCGGTTCTACATCGTCCAGTACACCCGCTTCAAGCCCCCCGGCATCCACTAGTTCAGCTTCCAGCTCCGGCTCCGGCTCCGGCTCCGATTCTGGTTCTGGTTCTGGCATCTGCAATGACCTCAGCAGCGTCTGGACAAAGGGCGACACGAGCCGATCTAATGCAGTCTACATGGGAGACGGCAGCAAATGCCCTGGCGGGTGCACGTCAGCCGATAGCACAAAATACAGCACCTATGGCGCCGCTACATTATCAGCAAACAGTGGGGACGCATACCGAGGCAATGTTGGCGAGCCATATGGTCAGAACTTGCTGCCCTTAAGCGATTGCAATACCGACGGCCATGATTACTCCATCACCTTCGCTGCCAAGAGCCCAGTCACTATCGCTTTGTGGAACAAAGTTGGAGATGACTGGCAGACTGCTGGTCGGACTATGACCGGCGCGAGCCGCAACGCCTGGTTCCTCTTCGATCTTGCGGCCAACGAAAATGCTGTCATCGGCGTCGCCGCTAATAGTCAGGTTTCATTCTCTCAGGTCTGCGACAGGAACGAAAACGGTCAGTTCAATTGCCCTTGGGGCGAGGCCGATTTCTCGGACACCAACAACGGGGCCTGGAGCGGCTACGACTATTCCGTCGAAGCGAACAACTATGTCAACAGCGGTGGAATCAGTGTGACCGTCGATGGATTTGACGTCAGTGATTCTAACGGGTGCGGTTTCTACAAGCCCGGTCAAGAGGACACAGGATGCAATACCAACCCGCCCGCGGGATCTATGCATGTCAAAGTTAGCGTGGGCTAAGCTTCAGAGTACGAAAATCTCATATAACGTAAGTCACATGAATGTTGCAGCTACTGAAGTGCTCTCGCTGACCACCAACCCACAGACTTCATCTGGTCTGGGGCAGCATTGCATGTATTTTGCTTCGAGTACCCTTGCAGGGCCCTTCCAGAGATATACTGCGAGCCATTTATACCCATGTATACCTTTGACTGGTTATATTGCAATCTCTCCAGCGGTAACTAAGCGGATATCTGGCATAACCTTTCAAATGTCAATGACCAAACTCTGGGCTCCGAGTGGTGCGCTGGCGTAACTCTTGTGTCATGTCCGTTTAGCCGGTGGTTTGGTGCGTATGTCTAAAATATCATTTACATCTTACGCGCAATAATGTATAGTGCTGTGACCCGTCGAAGCCCCCATGCACCGTGACATTTACCCCCGAGCGAGGCCTTGAATAGAAGATGGATGCGAGCTTCATGACCGACGTCTCGAACTACACAACAGGGCACGTTGCGGCCAACCAGACCAGCGATTTCGATCGCTGAAAACGATCATTCAACACCCGTTCTAGGCCTTCAACCCAACCAGGCAGCATGACAAGCTCCGCAAAACCACCGCACCCCCTCCCCTCCTCCTCCTCCTCCAATCCCCCCTTCCGCATCGCGCTCGTCGCTCACCGTGCTCGCCCGAAGTTGCCATCCTTCTCGACAGCTCGCCCGCCCTTCCCACTCCCCTACAGCCCATCCGTGCGCATGTTCGAACGACCACCCACACTCCGAGAGGGAGTTCCGGAGTCGTGCGGGTGTGTGCGCGTGGTGGTGTCTGAGACACCCTCCTCCTATTCCGCTAACCGGGGGCATCATACCCGAATCCTTCTTCCCCTCAATGTGCCCTTCCAGGCTCCCTCCCATCCAACCCCCACATCCTCCTCCACCACCAACCACCCTCCTTTCGATCCACCATACTCCCCACTCTCCAACGTCGTCTTCCTCTCCTCTGTTGTTTTCTTTCGGATTTTCCCGAGGTCCCGTAATCCCCACCCCCTCATAACGTCCCAGCTCCGGCGGCTTTGGTTTCCCCCCCCCGGCAAACGATGGAAGAGAGTGACTAGCGCACCGTGGTGCCTGCCGCTGGCACATCTCTCTCTCTCTTCGTCGTCGGAAAAATCCCCCAGGAGCCGCGCGTCGACCTTGAGTGTGTAGGGGCGCGCGAAGTGGTGCCGGAGGTGTGGATGTGGGGAGGGGGATTGGAGGGGGAAGGAGGGCGTGGAGGGGATTCGGTCCTGAGGAGGTTTCTGAGCCTGGAGAGGTGGTGCGGTTGGTGCTCGGGATGGGGTGGGATGGGAAGGGCGGGGGGGGATGGAGGAGGGGTGGATGGTGTTGGTTTGAGTGGGGAAGGGAAGGGAAGGGAAGGGAGCTGTGGATTGTTCTTTTGGGGATATTTCGAGGTAGATGGATCAGTCGGATTGGTCTGGTGAAGAGGCATCACGGTGTGCGGGAATGGGAGAGATCTGATCTCAATATTATCGATGGGGGTAGGGAAGGGAGGCTGGCTGGGTTTCCTACGTCGAAGATATTATTCTTTTGGGGGATTTCAAGTATGGAATAGTCGACTTGTTCTGGTGAAGAGTTATAACAGTGTGCGGGAATGGGAGAGATCTGATCTCAATATTATCGATGGGAGTAGTGAAGGGAAGCTGGCTGGGTTTCCTACGTCAAAGATATTATTCTTTTGGGGAATTTCCAAGTATGGAATAGTCGACTTGTTCTGGTGAAGAGTTATAACAGTGTGCGAAAATGGGAAAGACCTGAGCCGTGCGACAGTCAACGAGTTTCGATATTTCGCCTGCTTTCTCCCCCCTCTATGCATGCATGACTTTTGCTCGATCCTCTTACTTTTGATGAAGGAAGTTCGCATTTGGCCCTTGTGATTTGAACTACTCATGTGGTAAGAGACCGTTGGACACGATTGTGACACTCCTTCAACGCCATTGATACTGCAGTGCCCTACTCGGGGTGTGTGCGTCATTGATCTAGACAGTCTATTGGGCTGCTTACCTACCATATGGACCGTTTGCAAGGGTACGGTTGAGCATGAAATGTGTTAACCGAACAGGTTAGGTCAGACCCAGGACTGCAGGTACCCGGAGGCCGCGTCAACAGAGAGATAGCACCCAAGTGAAGCCCAGATCTCGATCCCTCAAAATACATCCCATCACAGTCGTTACGATAGCGTCAGGCCCCCGTCACACTCACTTGTTATCCATCAAAGATATCACCCTCAAGAAATATGCGTACCTTTCTAACGGTTGTTATCCCCTCACTTCTTCTCTTCGATGGGGTCACCGCCCAATGCGCAGCTGGTACGGCCCAGGAGATCAACGGCAATTGGTATTGCTCCGAGGTGACCGCCGTCACATATGCGAGTTTCCCGGGCTTCGGTTCTTATGAAAAGATCACAGACATGAACGCGAATACTGGCGACTGCAGTAGCGTGCGTTATAACTACAGTGGCTCACTGTCTCCGTTGAACGAAGAGGTTGGTTCCCCACGAGATTGAAACGGTTTGATGGTGTTTTGCTAATTAGAGGTCTTCGTAAGCTCTCTTTACATATTCGCGGTCCCACTTGGCTGAAACAAATCGCCGTCTATATGCCCACGACTATCGCCAACGAGAAGCGAAGCACTGAACCGAATGGCCACCATCGACGGCATGCAGCCGCAGCCGCAGCAGTGCGCCATCATGGTGGGCATCAGCACCTTCACGATCGCCACGGCAAGGTCAAAGGAGTCGAAGAGTCTCGGCTTTCGAAGCGTGCTGTCGGTGATCTGGTATCCGCTACTATCGATGGTCAGCTTGTTTCATGGACGAACGTCTATGCTGGGCCTGGTGTCGCTACCGATGCGCCTGTACTGGGAGCTATCGATGACACGAGTGCTTCGACTTCTGATGCTGACACGACCGAAGACACGAATATGACTTATCAGAGCTCTACCTTGTCTTCTTCCACGACTACAAGCACGTCGAGCTCGAGTACATCGAGTGCACCAGCAACGGGCGAAGGTTGGACTCGTCAGGCTTATCTCAACGCAGCAAGCGGTGCGGTCGAGGGTCTGACGTTTCTCAATCACTTCGGCGGGACGGATGGGGTTTCTGGGACCAGCGCTGGTGGACCAGCGTCAGGGAACTTTTGACCATGTGGAAACGGGATAGAAATGCTGACGACCGCAACAGCTTTGGTGCCTCTCTTTCCTACGCTTCCTCTGACGGCCAATCTGGCGCCGCCTCACCCCAAGTACTCTCGAATGCGATGATTGAAGACGACACCGAAGTAATCATCATGACCGACCAAAGTTGCGACGACGGAGGCTGTGGATTCACGCGTCCTGGAGGGGTTGCATACCGTAAATCGCGCTTTCCCTTTCTCTCCTCTCCCGACTGCTAACTTAGGGGCGACTTAGATGGCTTCTCGGGCGCCCAGAAGGTCTTTCTCCTCGAATTCTCTATGCCTCTCACGAATTCCACTACCTTCAATGGCGACATGCCCGCCATTTGGCTTCTCAACGCGCACATACCTCTGACATCTCAGTACGGCACCAACGCCGAGTGCTCATGGTACGTTCGTTTTGATACAACCTGTTTATTCTTCGTACCGCAACATGTGCCGCCAGTCTTGCTTCTGGAGCAAGAAGCCCACTTGATCTTCTGGAGCCATCTTGTCGCTCAAGTCAATTGCCTCAAAGGAAACACGCTGACATTTCAACCTTCTACAGCTGGACGTCTGGATGTGGCGAATTCGATCTCTTCGAGGTTCTCGACTCTGGGAACTTTCGCTGCAAATCGACATTGCACATGGCACCAGCCGGAGGAAGCAGTGATTGGTTTCGACGCCCTACTGGCGGAAGCATTACGGCTGCAGTGGTGATCGCAGGGGAGCATGAGGTCGCTGCCATCAGGGTTCTGGGCGATGGCCAGTCGTTTGATACGACTCTGAATGAGGACGTGGTGAATGGGTGGGTCAACGAGGAGGGAAGCGTGTTCAAGATGGAGGGTTAAGAACAAAGAGAACGAGCGGGATAGAGTGTCGGATTGGGTAGACGAGTATGGCAAGTCCAAGCATCTGGCTCTGTAGCTGGTTTTTATACGTACGTACAAAAGCCCACTGTTCGTAGTCAGATGTGGTGCAAATTCAAAGATGGAACCATGGCTTCTTTGAGAGATTTGCAAGATCCCTTCGTGATGAAGTATGAGGCCAGGCTCGTCTCAAAGACACTGACGAGACGCAATCACAAATATACCAAGACCATATTATTCAACTTTTTCTCCTCGCAAAAGTACAGGATCTAAGATCTGCCGTTGCGCCGTTGGGATAATATTTTTAGGCCTAGCCCAATTCATCAGCGTCATCCAAGCCGAGGCTACTCGTACTCTATCACTCCCGCCAAGCCCAAACGCTGGAGCCGGGGCTACACACCTTCAAAACAGACCTTGAAAGCAAAGCCCATCTATTGTGAACATTCACCAATCTCCTAATACCAACCGGCCGCAATCCATCCAATATATACAGTACTTCTCCCTAACTAGCAAATCCTTCACCCGGAAGAACAAGGCAGCACTCACCCGCATGTCGTTTTTCTCCACGCCCAGCGGAAACATGAAGAGATAAATAACCCCGCGAAGACTGCACGCCAAATTGGCGGGAATACGCCGATTGAAGGTTTGAGGTGCTTTGTAGCCTTCCAGAGAATCAGTCTCCCTGATCATGGCGGCGGTATCACCGCCCAAGCCCTGGGAAAGGGCAAACGCAGCTGGTAGGTGTCCTGGTGAGCCCTACACAGTCCTGGAGCACTGTACCTTTTAGGACAGCGAGCTCATGGTAGTGAATGAACAGCTACCGGCGCATCCTCAACCTCGACCGCAAATCCTCACACCACAACCCCAATAACTTCGTCCTCCTCACCGCCCGCTCTCCCGGACAAACCCTCCTCCCTCGCCTCCGTCGTAAATCGCAATTCTTCAACGTACTCCCCCGTTAACCAAAACCGTTACTCCTCCTCCTCTTACTCCGGCGTAGGAGGCTACTCCTCGCCCTATTCGCGGTTTGGCGGCATGGGCAATTCGATGTATGGCGGGGGCTACGGCTCCATGTACGGCGGCATGGGAGGAATGGGGGGAATGGGAATGGGAGGTTACGGAGGAGGAATGTACGGTCAGCCGGGCATGATGGGCAATGGGGTTTCGAATGATCCGAATAGTTTGACGAATACGTTCAGTCAGAGCACGCAGGCGACGTTTCAGATTATTGAGAGTTTGGTCGGGGCGTTTGGGGGGTTTGCGCAGATGTTGGAAAGTACTTACATGGCTACGCATTCGAGTTTCTTTGGTGTGTTCCTTCTTTTCCTATGATCTTGTTCCTTGTCCACCCAGGCCTTACTCCTACATGCTGATGCAAGACGTTTGCTGACTGTGGGGGTGATACAGCAATGGTACAAGTGGCCGAACAATTTTCCACCCTCCGTACAACCCTCGGTTCCATACTCGGCATCTTTACCGTCCTCCGCTGGCTTCGCACACTCTTCGCCAAAGTCACTGGCCGACCTCCACCCGCGGACGCCACATCACTCACTCCCTCGGCGTTCGCATCATTCCAAGGACTGTCTCCGTCAGGTCCCTCTCTTCTCCCAAACGGCCAACCAACACCTTCAAAGAAACCGTTCTTGATATTCCTAGCCGCTGTGATTGGGTTGCCGTATCTTATGACGAAAATAATACGGAGTCTAGCGAGACAGAATGAGGAACAGCAGAATCTGTACAATCAGGAGGGCAGAATGATACTCGGGCCTGATGGGCAGCCGATGCAGGAACAGCAACCACATCAACCGATCGATCCTTCGAAATTGGACTTCTGTCGTCTGCTGTACGACTACACACCAGAAAGCATGACTCAAGGCGGTTCGCCTACCGAAGGTATAGACCTCGAGGTCAAGAAAGGCGATCTCGTCGCTGTGCTCAGCAAATCAGATCCGATGGGCAATCCAAGCGATTGGTGGAGGTGTAGAGCGCGAGACGGGCGTGTGGGTTATCTTCCTGGCCTCTATCTCGAAGGAATCCAAAGAAAACAGCAACCGCAAATCGATGATGGCGGGCGCGTGAACACCATGTCATCTTTAGCTGCCGCTGGGAGCGGAGAAGGGAGCAGAAGTAATAGTCTCAAGGTCGAGGCTAAGGGTCCAAAGGTTGAGAGCAAAGCGGCTGATATTTCAGCTGAGAGCTTCCAGAGGAGTCAGTTCTACAACTAGTTCCAAACAGTTCTACAACTAGTTCCAAAGCAATTGTAGCATCGGCAAAAGCGTACATAGGGGAAAAGGGCAAAGGCGTTGCGATAGTCTTCCTGCACATAGGTTGGTTGCTGGCCTTGAATATTGGGTATTGGCTCGGAATTGGGAATATGAGCGGGCGGTACGCCCGTACAGTCATTGTTGGGGAGCGAATTTGACGAGGACGACAGGACTCAATGAATTATACTGCATCTTGCGCTTTGATTTTAATAACGATAAAGCTCACATCGACTTCCGCACTCATCAAATGTACATACATTATCACATGGCACTGCCCAGCCTGAAGGGCGCCTGGGCGTTAAGGCCATGTTCAGTAGATCTACAAACCCATATCCAGGACCAAGCGATCTATCGGCGTCGTACCCTACCTACGAAAAATCTGTTGCTATCTCTTAGAACAGCATCAAGGGTCTCCATCCCTTTGGGCAAAGCATTTGATACCGTAGATTCTCAACTTTCCTATTTTGGCAGACCCACTTTGACACATGGTCCGGAACCGAAGCATTTGCCAATTCGGTTCGAGGGTTGCTTCCGTCCGCACGGTGGTGGATCTGCCGGGAGACGTTTTGCTGATGTATCTCAAGCCAGCGGCATACCTTGGTGCAGCCAATGAATGACAGATGGTGTATGGAGTATATGTATGATACAGATCTCCTCGGCCGACGGGAATGAGTGTTGGGAGCCACGTTTGATGCTGCAGCTGTAAATGTCTTGGTTGGTTGGTTGGTTGTTAATGTATACAGTAGGGCCGTAGGGCCCACATATCTCATCAATCTTCTCGTCTCGATCCGTGTTTCCGGAGATTATCTGCTGGGTTGCTGTTGGCAACGGCCTCATCACGTGGGAGGTGTGGTTGATGGGAACTTCTGCGAGACGAACTGAGTTGGCAGGTCTTTGCGCATTGGACCGTATCATTTCCCGTGCGTCTGTGCAAAACAAGTACGCGGATCGATGATCTCTTCCCCATGAATCTTGCCATCCCACCCCGTTCCTCGTGAGCATTATTAATTCGGCTATATGTATGCTGATGAGGTCGTTGTTCCGCAAGAGCCAGTGCGTCTGAAATGGATGATTGTGTCACTCAAACGGATCCTTGGTCTTCTCGTAAAGGAGTGTCCTATCGGACCCGGTAACGTGGAGTTCGAACCGGGATCCTAACTTCCGTTTTGGCTTGTAGTGGTTCCGTACCGTCTCCAGCATTGCCAGGAAGAGCGACAGTCACTATATTGCGGTATCCAGCCACCATGACGTCTTCGTATTGCACCTTCTTCAGCCCGATCTCGCTGATATGCAGCTCTTGAAGCCGCACATCTTCCATCAATACAAAGTCTTTATACTTTCGATGTATATTCGTAGCATCAATTCTTGGCTTCGACCGTTTATGCTGCTTATCCATTGTTGGGTCCCTGGCAAGGCGGCGAGTATCCATCACTCTTGTTTGAAGAGGTACTTGACCATTTTCAAAGGGTCTTAGCTCCATAAGGCCTTCATCTCGAAGGTCTGAGTTGACGCCTTGACAAAACCTTTGGAGAGATTTGGTAGGGTCTTCCAGTCTTGAGAAGAGTCGCAAGGCTCTTGGAAGATCTCTGGAATAATGTGAAAGCAAAGAATTCCCAATCCCGACGACGTGAGCAGTGAGTGGCCTGTCTCCGTGTCGCGCTATCGCTGACCTGAGTATCTTCAAAGCAGCCTCGAATTTTCTGCGAGTGGTGAGGCTCAATTCCCCGAGCGAGAGATGTAGATTAGCAGGGTGAGTGAATGCACCTTTAGGTATAACACCGGAAATGGTACCCTTTTCAATGCGACTGTATGATTTCAAGAGCTGTGGGAGCGATGCGCGAGTCACAAGTGGAATGCGGACGAAATGTGTCGAATTCAACGCTTCTTTGAAGTTCCCCAGCATCTTAGATGTAAGACTTGTCCAGATCTTTTAGTCCAAAGAAGATAGAGAGAATAGACAGGTGAGGAATTGGGGAAAAGAAGAAAGGGGAGTGGTAGACCTACTTTATTGTACCTTACCAACGTCTCAAGCCTGCATCGCGCCAACCCGATCGGGATCCTGCCTTGTAGACCTGCCCATTGACCATTCACTGCTGATTTCCTGCACGTCCCGGGTAGCCAGACATAGAGCTGCGGCCAACATTACTTTTGATATTGGGTAGGAACACGAACGGCGTCAGCTTTGGCACAATTCAAATATAGCTCGGCGGACTACGGGAGCTACGGAGATGCCTTTTAATACTGCACAGAGGATTTTGAGCCTCTTGAAGCGTTGCAATTCTACTGCAAATACAACAGTAATCCTCTAGATTCGAGATGCTGTAGACTGTGCGCTTAGCAATGGCCTTGCATGTTGCCCGTGACCACTATTCCAAAGCTAAGAGCTGGCGGGCTCAGCAGAGCGCTCTGGGATCCTTCAGTACCTAGTCGATTTGGTCGTTGTCAAGCCCGGCAGGTGCTCTTGTGGGACGTATGACAGGCGAACCTCACGGCGCTGTAGCTTGATTAGAATTTCGATGCTTAGACGCCCTGTTACTGATTGCGCTGATGCACTGAAGCACACACCCTTGAAAAATGACTTGGCTCAGTCTCAAAGGATACTCTAGGCCTTTGGGTCTACAGTACAAGGAAGCTATACTGGCCTTCGTCGGTCAGTTCACCGTCTGAGCTCGTCCTGAGACGTCCTGAGACCTTGTGGCCTTGCAGTCTGTTCTAAAACCTGAACAGCCTCCTCATGAGGCAGCTATAGCGGTCCCAGCCGACTGCGTCCGCAGCTGAGACCTGTGCACCAAGAAGCCATGTCACCATGTTGCACCAATTGACGTTGTAGCCTTGTCAGAATCCGAGATTGATGTCCTTCACAACGCCCATGAAGTCTGAGAACGCGATTTTCCCGTTTGTGTTTGCTGATATCACGACAATCAAGCCTAATCCGCTCGAGTTTCCGCAGTAGCCCACCGATGCGGTATCCTCAAGTATTCAAATGAACGCGGTTTCCAAGTAACTCCGGGTAGAGGTACACTCGCGATGTCGTGGTACCTATTCCATATACACTGCCCATTCTCGAGTATGTCTTCTGATCCAAGTTCACTGATGCACACATTATCCAAGTGGACACCGTTCCCCCATACGATAGCCTTAAACTTTTCACAAAGGTCTCTAGCATCGGATCTTGGGCATCTGTCCCTCCTTACATGCTTCGGGTTTGGTTTATTGCAAGGAATCCCGGAGCTGAGAGATTTCAAACTAATGGCGTTTGCCTGAAGAAACGAGGCCTCTGATCTGTTCACCTGGCGAGCCTGCGAAGGGGTTCATCTCTCGAGGCCAGCATTGAAAAACTTCTGAGACAGACCAATACACAACGACTTCAAGAGACCCGTGGGCTCCTTCATGAAGGTATAGAGGAAACCGAAGAACTTTGACGCAATGGAGTATCGCCAAGTCCAATCAGATCCACAATTAGCGGCCGAGGGCGGACTTGGTCAACATTTTCACCACTTAGCATCTCTGGTGTCACGGTCGACGATATCCCGGTGTTGAACGAGCCGCTTGAGCCTTGGGAAACAGCTTTGGCCAGTCTTGATTTCCGAGGTCCTGAAGCAGCGCGGTTGCATGCCTCCTACTTTCTTGTGTCGGTAGACTCAGGGAAGCGATAGTGAGGCTCAAGCCTGGAAGTGGCCAGTAGGCTTTGGGAGGCACTGCGGCAGAGGCAGGGTCATTGGCGACTTGCCACAGAGTCTCTTGTATTTGAGAGGATGAAGTCTGGTTTAGAAATGGAATGCGGATTCGATGGGTCAAGCGCAACAGATTCCTATAATCGTTGTGTACAATGGGTTTTCTGGGTCGAAAAGTCATGGCGAGAAGGTCCCGTTAGCGGACAGAGCTTGCTCCTTCATTCAGGTTGAAGTATGTTACCCGTTGGCTTTACGCAGGTGGAATGCACTCCACGCGAGACGCCAAACTTGACTTTTCTAGAGTATGGCCTGTCAGTTTGAGCATGGAGCTTAACGATCCTAACCATTAGATATCGAATCCAGCTGAGCATTTCCTAGTGAAACACCAGGAATAGACCACCAGACCACGGCATATTCCGCCAGACAATATCGATGAGGTAAGCTGCATTACTGTCCACTCTGTCCTGCCATCAGATTGCAATTATACAAAAATTTCCCTCTAACTTATAATTGATGTCTCTTCACAGCGTCTCTCTCCATGGACAAAGTCTTTGGGGACCTCTTCAGAAGCTCTGAATGTTCACGCATATCATCTTGAACCATCCAAGTTCACGCAAGTCTTCGATGATCATACCTACGCTACTATGCGCATTTCAGAGGCTCCAATTGACATCAGCTGCGACCATATCGGAGACCTCGGCCCCTCCGACTCACGTACCAGGAAGTCTAGCCCACGTCACCTCATTAAGCAGTTTGACCAAGGCCCCCTTGTCGGGGATGGATAATGTGCCAAAAGAGCAGGTAAGGGGCCTGCATATGGGAATGCAGGTGAGCAAGCAACTGATTTTTGCGCAGCGAGCAGCGACTCCGGTGGCAGCAGGAATTCCGTTATGCCAAGAACTGGATATCAGTCGGTCACTACGCACGATGGTAGCGGAATGCGATGGTGGGAACGCGTGCGGTCATGATGGAGATGGTGGAGACAGACAATGAGTATGAGTGAGGTAGGATGGCATGCATCACAATGCATTAAACCACTTTAGCTTGCTTGTTTGCTTGCATGCATTGCAAATCGGTCAGCGCTTAGGTTAATAGTCGTATACCGGGGTGATACCAAGCAGAAAATGCCCTTCGTTCATCGTAAATCACTCAATCGTAGCATCCATTGTCATTCCTCCGCGTATGCTCAATCCTTCCCACCGCCTTCGTACTCTTTGTCCTTCTTCTTTTCCTCCTCCAGCTTCTCTAAAGCACCTTCACCTTGCTTATCTTGCCCACCCTCATGCTGCCCCATAGGATCGTTTTCAGAAGCATCAAGTAAAGCGGCAGTGGTTTCGGAGGACGTAGGGGGTGGGGGTTCACTCGCTGGACCTGTGCTCACACCGGCTGCAGAACTTGCGTTAGTGTGGGAAGGATAAAGAGGGAGAAAGTCTGACCTGCATTATAAGATGCTGGATTCAGTGCCATTTATATTGATTATGCTGTTGGGCTCCTTGAAGCACGTCTCTCTGGGATCTACACTTCTGGAGGATCGGTCCAAAAGCAGATTTACTGTTTTATTTCCAGATGCTCGTTCATTCAACCGATCACACGTCAAATCAACAGAGTCGTGGATGAAATATGACTGAATTTGCAATCCGTTGGCAGGCTGGTGGTCGTACTGATAAGACGGCTACGGAGATCTACAAGTGTCAAGTTGGCGCACAAAATTCGAGAAAGACATTGATGGTATCAGATGACAATTCCGGCATTCATTTTCCGCACATCCGTTGCTTCAGACTTCAAAATATTGGTGAAAAGTCCACGACTGAGGCTTCACCAATGCTGTATCGACATTGACGAAACACGTACATTCCCTCGACCGCAACTGCTTCTACAGTTTGACACCATGGCTTGGAGGGTTTTTACTGCTCTGTTCTGCAGGAATCTGGGGCTTCTTGACCACCACTTAGCACGTGGACTAGGAAAGAAAGCAAATGCAGATGTACCTTCGTTCACAGTCCGCAGTGTTTGTGTCGGACTATTCGCCATGATAGAGATATCTGAATGGAAAATGACCCGATGTATGAGTATGGCCCAACTTCAAAGATTCAATTAATGTTGCCATTTGGAATTCCACTCGCGGGAGCATCTTCCGGCGATATAATCGAGCCTTTCGAAGCTTCTTTAGGTTTGTTTTCCGAAATCTTGCCAGTATCAAGTCTCGCTTTCTTCGCTTGCCGTTTCTGCTCCCTCTTCGAAATTGGTTTTGGCGTGGGATTGCCCGCTCCGGCTTCGTCCCCCTCCAAGACACTAGCCTTCCGCTTGCCCTTCTCTTGCTTGCCTTTCGCGAATCTTTCTGGCTCTCTCTCAGGCTTTTCCCCCCCATGGACCACATCGATTACCCCTCTGAAGCTCCTCCTTTTCATCTCTGCGTGCACCACAGCACTCCTCGCCTCTCTGTCAATAGCTTCTATACCTTTCTCCTGCCCCAAGCCCCACAGTACTGCCAAATTCACTACATCCGCTGGCCCCCGACAAGCCAGCGCTCTTTTCGCTTCACTGCTGATGACGATACCTCTACCTCTTGTTGCACGTATCAATTGCGTAGCATTGCTGATCAAATTCCTCCTTGACGCGCCTCCATCACTATTCAGAATTCCCGGACCGTAGCAGATCTCAAACTTTACGCCTCTCTGTAGGGCGTTGGCCATGGTCTTGTGCTTGAAGTAAAAAGGGAAGCGTGTGCTCAGGTCAAGAGAAATGAGATCGCATTCGAGAGCTTGACAAGCTTGTTGAAGTGATTTTTCGTTGTCGGGACGAATAGCCAATACATCGTAAGCCGAATTGAGAGCTTGAAGTCGATAATTTTGGGACGGATCGGATAGGTGGAGGGTGCAGCGGCGAAGGATGTGAAGAGAATTTGGTATCGTGAATGGGAGAGGAGTTGGTATCTGATTCGAGATTTCGGCGGGAACCTTGCCAGTTACGGCAAAATCTAATGCAATGGTGTTATAACCCACTCCTCAAGGTCAGCGTCTTCTACATCCTGCGGACCTGTACCGAAGGACACTGACGTTCTGAGAGGAATGCCAGTGTGCGTTGCAGCTCTCCATGGTTCGCGATGTATGGAACATTGAGATCATAATACATCCTCAACCCTCCCCCTCGCCCCCTTGAGCTCCTCCACGTGAAACGTAGTGTGACCCAGTACAGGTGTTGTGCTGTAAGTTCTGCGAATGCGAGGATTCCTCGGATTCAATGACACAAGCGAGCGCACTAGCGCGCGGGCCTAGCGGCTGCATCCAACTTTGTCGCCCCACCATCACATCACTCTCGGCCTTCTGCGCTCAGTCATCTTTTGGAAGACTTTGGTTTCGACATTTCAACCATGGATGATAGAGGTCTTTCATGCTAGTACGGCGGCAGTAAACCCCCAATCAATTGCGCATTGCTGAGATCAAGGAAATATGGCGCGGGTATATGCAGATGTCAACCAGCATATGCCGAAGTCCTATTGGGAGTATGACAGCGTCAACATCACATGGGGCGTGTTGGAAAACTACGAAGTAGTGAGAAAGATAGGTACGATAAGCCATAGGTGGATGCTGCGCCATGTTTACCAGCGCTGATACTGCGCAGGTCGCGGAAAATACTCAGAAGTTTTCGAAGGCATCAACATTGTCAACTACCAGAAATGCGTCATCAAGGTCCTCAAGCCGGTCAAGAAGAAGAAGATAAAGCGAGAGATCAAAATCCTGCAGAACTTGTCAGGCGGGCCGAATGTCGTTGCGTTGCTGGATGTCGTGAGAGATAGCCAGAGCAAGACCCCGTCCCTCATATTTGAATACGTCAACAATACGGACTTTCGAAGTCTCTACCCAAAATTTGTGGATTACGATGTGCGATACTACATATTTGAGCTGCTCAAGGTATGCGCGAGGCTGCCAATGGACCATCAGGCTATAATGGCTAACGAATGTCATTAGGCTCTCGACTTCTGTCACAGCAAAGGCATAATGCACCGAGATGTAAAGCCTCACAACGTCATGATAGATCATGAAAAACGAAAGGTGAGCTCAGCTAATTATTCAGCATGTTTCAGGGCTAATAATTCGTAGCTACGTCTCATCGACTGGGGACTGGCAGAGTTCTACCACCAAGGTACCGAGTACAACGTCAGAGTAGCGTCAAGATACTTCAAAGGGCCGGAACTACTGGTCGACTTCCAAGAATACGACTACTCCTTGGACATGTGGTCATTAGGAGCTATGTTCGCCTCCATGATTTTTAGGAAAGAGCCTTTCTTCCATGGCAATAGCAACTCAGATCAGCTGGTCAAGATTGCAAAGGTGCTGGGAACAGACGACTTGTTTGAATATTTAGACAAGTATGATATCGATTTGGATACCCAATACGATGATATACTCGGGAGATTCCCAAAGAAGAATTGGCACGGTTTCGTCAATGCGGAAAATCAAAGATTCGTGAGCAACGATGCCATAGATTTTCTGGACAAGCTACTGCGGTACGATCATCAGGTATGTCGCCTTCATCAGTCTGCCATTTGCAGTTCATCTCGACGAAGCTAACCTTGCATCCAGGACCGATTGACCGCTAAGGAAGCGATGGCCCATCCGTACTTCAGTCCAGTCAGGGCCGCAGCATCGTCGCAGAACCATGGATCCTCCATCCCATAAGCTCTCGAACTTAACACACCCTCTGCTCCGCACCCTCCTGCCTTCATAGTCATAAGCCACTCGACTCATCCTTCATCAAGCTCGCATCACACGACCAAATCTACGGAAAACGCCCTGTATGAGGACTGGGCAATCCGACATCGAGAGCGCGCGTGCGTTTATTATCCCCTACGGCATACCATACCATAGCATTCATCCGACACGCCACCAGCCATCAGCTGCCAACTTCAGAAGATATGTACAGAGGACGGTTGGACGGCGTTTTGCCCGGATTACAGGGTCGAAATCTGGAGGTGGCTTTCGCAATAACGAGGCGTTGGCTTTTTCCCAGACAATGCTATACATAATTATTGAGCAACAATTTTACAATGAAAATTTGAGCGGACTACATCAGTAGATGCAAGAGACAGGTGATCGTACGGTAGCTACCTGGAGCTAAACCTACATTAATGCAATAGACCTTCCGTAGTGTCGGGTGTAGCCGCCTCGCCGCTCAGGGTCCAAGATCGGCCAAGTCGTCTTTCGTCATGCCGTTCCTGAGCAACTGGAGTCGGACAACAAACGCCCCGACTCGACCGATTAGCAGTCATATCAAAGCGAATACGAATGCGCTCTCAGGAACTACTTCATATTCACTCATCGATTGAATGGCCATATAATCAAGGACATTCCCATGCTGTAGTGGTGTGGACGAATTTCCATCTCATTTCTACGACATGGCTGAAGTCCACGCTTTGGACGATTACTACTTGGCCATTACTCTCTTGATCACCATAGCATACCAGCTGTTCTTCTTCTCCATCGCCTTCTCTCTCAAATTCGACAAGCTCACAGGTATATCTTCACATTTGTAAATTACTTTATGTCAATAATGATCCTCTGTTCTAGACTTCGCTGGCGGCACCAACTTCGTGGTACTCGCAATCATAACCCTTGCCTTCTCCGGCCACCATAATGCGCGCCAAATCGTGGACTCACTCTTCATCATGATCTGGGGAGCGCGCCTCTCTGGATTCCTTCTTTTCCGCATTATTAAGACTGGCAAAGATGACCGCTTTGACGATAAGCGGGACAAATTCTTTCCATTCTTGGGCTTTTGGGTGTTCCAAATGTTCTGGGTCTGGACGGTCTCGCTACCGGTAACCATCCTGAATTCGCCCAATGTGACAAAATATCGTCAGCCCGATTTTGGCACTGGAAGAGATATTGCCGGAGTGATACTATTCACCATCGGCTTCCTTATGGAAAGTGTTTCGGACATACAGAAATACCGGTTCAGGAGCAGGCCAGAGAACAAAGGGAAGGTCTGCGATGTCGGACTCTTCGTTTGGACAAGACATCCGAACTACTTCGGAGAGATCATCATCCAGTTCTGTAAGCAGACTCCTTTGAGCATTCAAGCTTTATACTGATAATGCTAGCTATCTTCATGATTGCCGTATCGCCTGCAGCATACGGATACGTCCATGGCGGGGCGTACAGTGCTCTCTACGCTTCGATCCTAGGAGCCTTCTTCTTGACCATTCTCCTCATGTTCGTCTCTGGTTTACCACTGCAAGAGCGCCCAGGAGCGAAGAAGCGTTACGAAAGTGGCAATCACTGGGAGTCGTTCTCTGAGTATACAGAACGCACAAGTATTCTGATACCCTTTCCTCCCCAGCTGTATGTCAGGATGCCCATAATTTTAAAGAGGACCATTTTCTTGGAGTTGCCTTTGTATGTTTTTGATCCTGCAAAGCACGCAGATCAGGGGAAGGTACAAGAACGGCAGGCTGAGGAGGGAGCTGCAGATTCCGGCAATGAGCAGACGCAGGACGGCCATGCGCATGAGTAGATACCCATTTGTAGCATCGCAATTTCTTTCTGCTGTCGGCGAATCTTGGCGCAGTTTGCAAAATATAGATATTTGACATGGCATTCTATTTATTGATCATCCAGTTGGGTTGATTGTCGCTGTTACCAGAGTATGCCATTCCGGCTAAGTATTCTAGTGATCCGGCATACAGATCGAAATAAGCTATTAGACGCGACAAGCGATTGGCATTCTTGCCGATGAGGTCTATTCGACCTCAAGACCGCTATCATCTTGCAGTTTGCACCTCAAGGGCGGAAGCGGATGCCATACTGTTGTGCCACTGCTCGTACTTTCGTACAGCGCAAAGGTTCCTCAAGGTGAGTCCAACACATTGCGCGGCCGAATACAGCGTTCTGAGTTTCCCACCAAGAAGTAGCATGCAAATGGATGCTAACCCTTAGTGTCAAGGCGGAGGACTTCACTTCATAGAATTTCAACCGCCAACCTTTGCGTATTGAGCCAGCAAATATTGCGCCCCCGGGCCTAGACAATGGGTCATACTTTGGAACTACATCAAACATAAATCGACTTGTGGCAGCTTCTGGAAACTCCCTATAGGCTAGGAACAAGGGAAGCAGTAAGAGACGTTACGAGACATCATTTAAATCAAGCTCCACCCCTTGGTATTCAAGCGCAACCTATCGGAGCCATCATGGAGGCCAAAGAGGTCATCGAGAAATCCAAAGCTCTCTCAAAAGCCACCGCGGCCAAAGACCCACCTGAGAATCTCATTCGCATCCTCAATGATCTGAAAACCGGTGTCAAAGCGGACGAAGATCTCCTTCGTTCTACAAAAATCGGCGTGGCCGTTAACCGCTCCAAGCAACATCAGAACCCTGCAGTCGCCCGTCTAGCTAGTGAGATCGTTAAGAAATGGCGCGACGACATCAACAAGCTGAAGGGAAGCAGCCCCTCAGATAAGAAAAGCCCGAATGGTACTGCATCTCCTGTCCCAGCGAACACTTCGAATGGCAAGCCCAAGCTCAATGTACCGCCTGCGGAGCGCGACTGGAAGAAAGACAAGGTGGACATCGCTCACACCAATCAAACCACGCGTGACGGTACTATCGGTCTCATCTACAACGGTCTCGCCTACATGTCCACCGATGCATCATCAGACATCCTGCATAAAGCTGCAGCAGTCGAAGCAGCTGGCTTCGCAAAGTACGGCCCGGAGAATAATGCGAGCTACTCGTCAAAGATGCGCAGCCTCTTCATGAACCTTAAAGCCAAGTCCAATCCCAAATTACGAGTAGATGTCTTGAATGGCACTATCTCCGCCGAGCGCCTTGTCGTCATGAGCAATGATGAGCTCAAGAGCGCAGAAAGGCGCGCAGAGGATGCTAAGCTTATCGAAGAGAATTTGAAGGACTCCCAGATGCCACAGGTACAGTCACCCTGCTATATCATCCGCTCGTACCAGCGAAGGGGATCACTCATTACTAACTGGATCATAGGTTGAGAGGAGCATTAGCACGAGTCTGGAGTGTAGCAACCCCAAGTGTAAAGGTAACCGTGTTCCCCGCATGGCCCCTTCCCAGGCTTTCATCCTCATGAAAAGAGACTGACCCTGAGAAACTCTAGGCCAGAAGACAGTTGCTTACACGCAAGCTCAAACCCGCTCCGCTGATGAACCGTAAGATTTACTCTCTTACTGCTACTAGCATCATGCTAACATGCTTTCACAGGATGACTACCTTCTGCGTAAGGACCTTGATCTCATTCAAATGCTTTGATACTGACCCATACCATAGGAGTGTACGAAATGTGGCAAGCGCTGGAAATTCAGTTGAGCTCTGGGGTTCCCACAGCATTGATGAAGCATTTAGCATGGTCTTCCAGGCGTTTCGAGGCGGTAGGATACCCAGAGACGAGATGGTGCAGTCTTGGCATGATAGCGGTCTTCCGGTGGCATACTAGCAATGAACAGTTAATGTCATAGCTGCAATGCTTACCAACGTGTTTTCAGTCGTGCACAGTTCTCTTAGAGGACGAAGAGGAGGCATACTGGGTGATGGGCCCTCGCTCCAGATGAAACCAATTGATGTCGCGGGAGCTTGATCCGAACTTGTGGGATCCCTCGAATTCCAAAGGCTAGACAATGCGGAATTCGACGGGCGTGAGCCCGGGGATCTGAGGATGGTACACTTGTATGGTACCATCAATGTATGCCTCAAGCCGATACTGTAACGTCTACCCTTCCCGTGCACCTAGAATTGGCATGCGCATCCCCTCAAAACGCAAACATCTTCCCTTCCTTCGGATTTTCAATCATGCAAAGTGCCAAGATTCTTCGCCTGGAGTCTTGAATCACGCGTCCTCTGCCCTTGAAGCTGGTGTTTGCACTTATGAGTCACCCCCGTAAATCGTGCCCGGCTGTGGTTTCTGGTCCCCCTAAGCGGAGGACTCTCGGGTTGTCAATCATCCTGTGGGTTCACATGCAGTGAAAATGGGTACCAATGGATTCTAAAGCTGTTTCCACTACTACACTATCTACGCTACACATGGGTTCTTTCCCCTTCAGGTATACATACACGTGTCGTCCACCCCCTCGGGCCCGCAGCATCGCAGCGTTTTACCCTTACGTCGAGATCATGACCGAGGAATTCTTATACCTATAACTTCATCAGCGCTCGTCCCCTTCCCCATATAAAAATTGGAACGATTAGGAGATTTACCAGCTCAACATCGGATTCTCCCCACTCTTCGTCGCCGTGTCCTGCACATACGCCCATCTTGACAAAAAATCCGAATGGCTCATTACCTTGGTCAATTTCCCGGTGATGGCTCTATAGATATCTTCAATGGTTGCAAAGTCGGTAGGAAAGAGGATGTCGAAATAGCCTTGTTGGACCTACCCAACGACCACTTGTTAGCAAAGCTTGTTTCGGGATCGATGGAGGGGAAGTAGAATTTACATATGGCGTAGTTACAGGCACGACCCTTCGCTGATACCTCGTTTGCACTACGGGCGCGTTAATACCCTTGACGGCATCGGGTAAGGCGTGGAAGTCGGAAGTGAGAAGCTCGTGCTTGGGGAAATAGTCCCTCAGGACGTCGAAGAATTGCATCAGCCGCGTGGGTATGTACTCAGGCAGAGTCAAATTTGGGGCGAATGGTAACCTTGACTTGAGGCTACGCGTAAACCTGGATTCTCTGAGCGGGTGATCGAACGGGCGGGAGCACGCTGCATCCCGGACTTGCAGGAAACGTGATGCCACAGGGTCAATTTGCTTGGTATAGAATTCGTAAAAATCCCCAGAATTGTCGACGAGAACAGTGCCTTGCAATGGCTGTTCAGTGAAGGGATCGTAGCGTATACTGTCATGAGCGAAATTGTCGAAGACCTCGAGAGCGAGGAAGTAGCAGGGTGCAGGTACGTAGGTAGCCCAGGAAAATATAGACTTGTTGATGATTTCCACGTGCTCAGTGTGACCCCTTGAAGAGGCATTCCGCGTGAGCTGTGTAGACTGCAGCGCCGCGAGCGAAGAAGATATCTCAATGACTTTGAACTTCGTCCTAGCATACACATCCGGGTCAAAGTCGCGAATATAGTCGAGCATATTCAACATCAGCGTTCCATTCCCCGCACCGAGCTCATATATTATGAGGTCGTCTAACGGATAGTGCATAAGTTTGTAGTTCGTGACAAGGTACCTGGCAATAGCTTCGCCATAATACGGTCGAAATAGCTCAGTAGGTGTATGCCATAATTGCCTGCTCTCATTGGGGACTTCATCATCAAGTTCGTCTTCGAAGACAGTGTAGCGATGGCCCAACTGTCTGAGGAATTCAGGCTCATTGGCCATTTTATTGAAATCGAAGGGCTGGCTGGGGCTGAAGATTACGACTTGTTTGGGGAAGTAGCCGTAGTGTGGATTATAGAGACTGTCTAGACGGCCAGTAAGCATAGGCTGAAGATGTTTAATGGAAGACAATACCCTCTATAAAGTCGCGTGCCAGCATCTTCACCCTCTTAGGCCTTTCCCTCCGACTCCTTAGCATATCTGAGGTGACCATAGGATATTTCTCATAGTCCCTCAGCTTGTCCGGTGGAAATATATCCGTCCGCATCTGCCAATCGCTTGTCTGTCTGCTATCGTCATCTCCATCATCTTCCTTCGAGCTTCTGTAGTATCTCCGCCCAGGCGCATTGAGTAGAAGTCGTCTGGATGTTGGAGGGTAGAAGCGCAATCTGGAGCATGTCTGATGGGATAGCAGACGCTGGAAGATCTTTGAAGCCAGCGGCGAGTCCATGTCGCTCCTGTCTCCGTGCCCGGCATGTGGGCACTGGGATGTTTGAAAATGGGGGCTGTTCGGCGTTTACGGGCTTGCCGCGCTTCTAGAGCTTCAATCCATGCCGCATCCGGAGCCTTGCATAAGTATCTCCCAACTCATCTAAGCTTGTACAGTGATGCCATGGAGAATCGACCAAAGCTGTATGCTATCACAGCATTCGTAGCCGGTATCCTTCTGACGCTCGGTTACAAAGATTTCTACCCTGACCTTGAGTGGTGGTTTTGGAGACGGCGCAAGGCAAACAGGACGGTGGCAGGTGCTGGACTCCAAGACGGTGGTCAAATTAACTTGGAAGATCATGAAAAGAACGGTCCGACCACAATGGATGTGCCTGAAGGTATAGAAGCTTGCATCGGAAATACTCCCTTGTTCAAGATAAAGTCATTGTCCAGCGAGACTGGGTGTGATATACTAGCCAAAGCTGAGGTAAGATTTAGAATCCTGCTAGCTAGCAGTGGTTTGTCTGATCGCCTGGTAGTTTCTCAATGGCGGTGGAGGCAGTCCGAAAGACAGAGTAGCCCTCGGCATCATCAATCTGGTAAAAGCAAATATTCAATTTTGTCTTGCAGAGTCTGAACCTTTTTCGTAGGCTGAGGAGCAGGGTCTCTTGACACCTCACTCAGGAGACACTATCTACGAAGGCACTGTAGGATCCACCGGAATATCCCTCGCTACAGTCTGCAGAGCAAGGGGCTATCTGGCGTACATGTAAGCTCCTTCCCTCCCATACTTTCCGACTTAGTCTCGATCTTCTCCATCCTAAATCATCCCATAGCTGCATGCCCTCAGACCAAGCAACCGAGAAATCCTCCCTCCTTCTCAAACTCGGCGCGGTCGTCGAGCGTGTTCCGCCAGCTCCTATCGTCGACCCTATGCACTTCGTCAACCGCGCACGCACCCTCGCCGCCGAACACACAGCCGATTCTAATCGGTTAGGTCGCGGCTACTTCGCGGACCAATTCGAGAACGAAGCTAATTGGCAAGCTCACTATGACGGTACAGGACCCGAAATCTTCCGCCAGTGTGGAGGAAATTTAGATGCCTTTGTTGCTGGCGCAGGCACTGGTGGGACAATTGCTGGTGTTGCGAGGTATTTGAAGCCGAGATTGCCGGATGTGAAGATTGTGCTTGCGGATCCGCAGGGGAGTGGGCTGTACAATCGCATTAAGTATGGAGTCATGTTCGCAACGACGGAGAAGGAAGGGACGAGGAGACGATCCCAGGTCGATACAATTGTGGAGGGTATTGGGATCAATAGAGTCACGGCCAACTTTGAAGCTGGGAGGGAGTTGATAGACGATGCTGTCAAGGCGGATGATGAGCAAGCTCTAGCGATGGCTAGATGGCTTGTGGAGAAGGACGGGATTTTTGTTGGAAGCAGCAGTGCCGTCAACTGTAGGCGCAAGCTCACTTGTATTACTCATACAGAAACTGACTCGAAAAAGGCATCGCTGCAGTAAAAATTGCACAACAGCTGGGTCCTGGACATAGGATCGTTACCATTCTTTGCGACTCTGGAACGAGACATATCTCAAAATTCTGGACAAGAGCAGGAACCATTGGCGGCAAGACAGACAGCAAGCTAGAAGACGTCATTGGTACGCAGAGTCAAAATTGATGAGAGTCGTTCCATGTGGGCAGGGTTCTACCATCGAGTCGGCTCTTGGACCTCATGAACCCGCTCAGTGCGCCAAGTTCAAAGACTATAAAATGCCTTGTCAGATCTTCAGAAATACAGCGTTACGCATTGCATTCCAAATGGACCATTTTGACTCCTTTCGTATCAGTCCCGTCGGGGCCGCAACCATGTGATTGAAGGATTCAGAAAGCCCAACTCATCGCACGTCCTGAATTGAACGGATAGAAACCATTATCTGCAGAATCGCGGTGGTATGCTGCTATTTGACTCTCGGAAGCGGTACTTGGCCGATACCGGAGATCAATCAATGGTCAACAAGTACAGAGAGTGTAATCACCTGTTTTAGAGATAGGACAGCTCGTCCTCACTGAAGTCGTCAACCGCTGTCCATATTGAGGAGAAAGAATCGGAGACGATCTCTTTCTTAACCTTCCTTAACGGCGATCGAGCTGCCGCAAGCCTCTTACTCAGTGCATGAGAACCAGACTCGACGATGTCAGATTCTGTGGCCTCCTCGATCTGCTTCCGCACTGGGGTCGCTACCCCTGGAGTCACGCGCAAAGGCTGCGAATCAGGATCTAAGTTGATACTCTGGATGACATTCTTGGGCTGCTTCCTTGTTGAAGTAGCGGCGCCTGGAGTCATGCGCAAAGATTGTGACTCGGTGTCCAAGATGATAGGCTTGGTCGCTTCTCTCCCGAGTTCTTGCACTGGAGTAGCTACAGCAGGTGTTACGCTCAGAGGCTGCGAGTCAGCGATTTCAGGGCCCAGAGAAGACCTGACATCGTTGAGGACGAACGCTGCTGAAGCCGCATACTGGCTCTCTGCTGCAGCAACCGAAGGCGACTTAGTGGGAGTGCGGATCGCAAGAATCTCATGATCAGGCAAACCCGGGCATAACTCTGCGGGTGCGTTCTCCACTGTAGCAGAAAGCCGTCTGATGAAAGCACGGTCCGTAGTCTCCGTGGTGGCCAAAGGCGATTTAATTTGGGGATGGCTCAACGGACTTTCTTTGGTATCTCCACTCTTTCTGTTCACGTTGCTTGTTGCAGACAATGGAATCACAACTTGGACAATCTGTCTTTTGGCAGTAGTTTTGCTGGTTGCTTCGACGTTGGGCTCATGGTATTCACTTGGTTTGCCATGGTTAGGTGGCTGTGCTGAACTGATTGAAAATAAATTCGTCGGTCCAGTCTTCTGTGGTCCTTCTGTCGTTGACCTTTTTTTCTGGATATTGTTTTCTGCCTCAGAAATCGACTCTTCTTGCTGTGATGCGGATTGGCTTGTTCTAAGTCGTTGGAGAAAACTTGAAGTTTCCATTGCCATAGTACTCCGAGGCTGTATTTTTGGGGGGGAAAAAAGCCTTCACTGTACTTGTCTGCGCCCTCAACATTGGGCTTAGCCTTGATAGACATGGTCGGAGAAGATACCCGAGCTTCGCAGCCGTTCTCGGAGACGACTTCGAGTCCTTGGTCCGGAAGCATGACTACATCGTCTTCGATTTCGAATGGCTTTGAAAGGCTATATGACTGATCTGTACCGGCATAAGTCTCGTTTGGGTTCGACTGAGATGCAAACTCAGCTATCTTGCAACCACCATCCACGTGACGAGCAATGTGAGATGTTCGACGAGCGGATGCCTCTGGCGAGTTAATGCTTTTGGTTCTTCGCGTTCCCTCCTGGTCTCTGTATATTGAGCTTTGGTCAGAGCGATTGTGCACCTTTCCAACTGGATGGTGGTGGTCACTGGTCCTGGCAGAAGGCTCACTGGCGTCGTCCAGTGATTCGCCCACTGTGAAATTCTCTTTTATCTCGCGATCCCTCACGCTCGAGAACGGCTCACCCATCGTGTATCGAATGTGAGCTCCACCATCATCAGAAATCAAAATCGATTCGTCCACAGTGTAGCCAATGGGTTTCCCATGGTTACGCCCAATTTGATACTGAGAAGTCATGCGGTGATCTCCAAGTTGTTCCATAGGCTTGCTCAAGCTCCGAACAAAATTCCCCTCTTCTAAAAAGCCTTTATTTGATTGCTGCTGGACGTTCTGCGGTTTTTTGGCTCTCGAAAAAGTATCGTGATCATACGGCTCTGGGCGGATTTTATCAGGACCCAGAGAATTTATGTTAGGAGACAAGCTGGGAAGCGGTATTCTGCGCCCCAATATCTTAGGCAACTGACGCTTTGAGCTCGCCTTACCATGGGTGATCATGTAGGTCCAGTGAGATGCAATAGAGCTACGCTGCCGCTCTGGAAAGTAGGATTCCATGGCCGCACCCGATAGATTCGTTGTAGTCTTTAGATGAATCAAAAGCTCTTCTTCCTCCTGCGTCCATTTGACTATCCTCCGGGCAGCGGGCTCCGAGTTACTCAAATCGAAAACCGGTTCGTCGGCACTGTTCTCTTGACCGCGTGCAAACGATAGTGATCGCTGACTTACTGAGTTGGCACTATCGTGTCTCCGCCGTGGAGGTTTCTTAGCCTCGGGTGTCCATAGCGAAATACCTGCTCGCTCATCGTCGGAATACTCTCGCATATTATCAACGCTGGTCAGTCCAACTTTATCTCTCTCCCTCTTGAGTATGGCAATGTTCGGCAAGGGCGGTGCTCTCCATGCTGGCTCGATATTTGGCTCGTCTGCGAAAGCGGGCTTGTCCTTGAGGAGACACGAGGTCTCCTGAGCACTTAATCTATCCTTTCTGTGTGATGCCCACTCAATATCGCTGCTTGCCAACTCATCCTCATCGTCATCTGAAGGGATTGAGACTGCTCTCCTAGACTTCTTGCCTAATTGGTGTAGGTGGGACTCAGCTGGGACATCGCCCATAAGACTGTCGGCGTCAAAATCCGACTGCCCTGAAGCTTCTGATTCCTCCATGGCAGCTGTGTCTCCTGCCTTGGATGATTTCAGAGCTGCAAAATGTTCCTCGCGGTACTCGATCAAAGAGTGGTCGTCTTCGTCATCGGCCACCTCTTCGGATGAGTATTCGGCGTCCCCTGCATCTCTCTCATTGGTCATACCGAGAATATGACCATTGTCGACCACAATTTCCCCTGTCTCCATATCTATCTCATCGCCTATGCCATCAAAATCTTTCCCATATTTGTCAAATATCGATTCGAAGATCGATTTCAATCGGAAGTCATTCTGAGCTCTCCGCGCATGAAGGTCGATTTCTGGGTAGCTGTTTCCTGAAAAGCGCCGCCTTTTGAACGGTGGCTCCATGCTCTTGTTGCAAGTTCCCTGTTAGCAAGAGCAAGTTATTGTTGTCAGAAGCCAGTAGCTAATTTGTTTTGATGATAACGTGTTAGTCGCGTGCAGTGTAAATACCGAGGGGTTGCGCGTGTATCGGCCTATTTTCGGCCTCTAAACAAGAAGTCAGCGTTCAGCAGAGCCAACCCATCGAGATGAACTGCCAAAAATGCCGAACACCTCTGAAGCTCGATAGCTCGCTGCAATACCTCAATCCGGCAGCTTTCGACCTGTTGGTAGGTATGTAGCCAAACAGCACTGCTTTTGCGCACAAAAACTGAATGGTTCACAGGATCAACAGGCCATTCCAATGATCAGGCAACCAGTACATCTCGGGTACCATACCCTCACGAACGCAAGGATCTCTACAATCAGGTAACCCAAGATGCGACATCTCCAGTGTTCAAAAGGGCCATTCCTGCTGCTCGGCAGGCGTTCGGCCCCCAACCTGCGGTGGCTGCATCAACGAAAGCCGGCTTGAAGGACAACCCGGCCATGTCCTTCGTGATGCTTACAGACTCGCAAGTCGTTCCTCCACAACATACGTTGGATGGTAACGAGGAAACGCGGAAGAAGCAGGGATCAAGAGTAGCGCACAGTGCTGCAAATGAAGCCTCCAACGAGCCAAAGCAAACACTGTCTCACCAGATCGAGTCGACCACTCGACTCTTCGAGATTCTCTCGTCCCACTCTGACATAGATCACCCTGTTTGTGCTGAGTGTACCGATCTACTTCTGTCACAGCTTCAGAGTCGTCTTTCCGCGTCTACCAAAGAACGGGACGCCTATATTACTTTCCTAAAAACCATCAACAACACCATTCCGTCTTCATCCGAGATCTCAAAAGCTCAAGCGTCTCTTACTTCATCCAAAGCCGCCGAAGCGAAGGCGTTTTCCGAGCTCTTGGCTCTTGAAAAGGAGAAAGCAGCCCTGGACGACGAGGTCGCGACCTTAGAAGCCGAATCTCTCGCCCTGGATGAGGAGGAGCAGGCTTTCTGGCGCTCCAGGAATGCGTTTGCACTGACCTTGTCCACCCTCCAAGACGATCGTGATGCCCTCAATGCTGCTTACGATCATGATGCTCAGCAGCTGGAGCGCCTCGAATTAACAAACGTCTACAATGACACGTTTTGCATTTACCACGACGGGCCCTTTGCTACAATCAATGGTCTGCGCCTCGGGCGTCTTCCGCCTCAGCTAAACGTAGATTGGTCTGAGATCAACGCTGCATGGGGCACAGCTGCTTTACTTCTTGCGACAGTGGCCGAAAAGCTAGGATTCACTTTTCGAGGCTACAGGATCAAACCCATGGGCAGTACCTCGAGGATTGAGAAAATAGAACAGGGAAGCTCTGCTTCGAGGCAATCAACTTCCGGCAGAGTGACCAATTTCGCTTCCAACCCCAACACGCACCAAGAACCTCAGCAACCCAAAATCACCGCACTTGACCTGTTCTCGTCTGGCGATCTTCCTCTAGGCAGGATGCTGCTCCATCGCCGCCTCGACGCAGGCATGGTTGCCTTCCTTGAATGTTTGCGTCAGCTTTGTGACTTTGTTGAGCAATCCTCCCACCGAATTCCCCACAATTCCAACTTGCCTGTCATTGACAGAGGTTCGCCTGCGAGTGATGCAAAGGTAGCGAAGCTGAAGGTACCATATTCCATCACAAAGGACAAGATCGGGGACCCAGAAAAGCCTGATCTGATCGCAAGTATCAAGCTTGGAGTCAGTCAGGATGAGGCATGGACTAGGGCGTGTAAGTATACGCTGACCTGCTGCAAATTTTTGCTGGCATGTGCAAGTAATGTGGGCTGGGTTGGTCAGAGGATGTGAAGGAGTCTCAAGAATCATCGGAAAGGAATTTGCCACAGAATATGTGATTTCTGAATGTACATACAACACAAGCGCCTCCGATCTTCTTTCTCTATGTGCCTATGTCTAAGCCCAGGGGCCAGCAAGGTCGGGTTGTTAGATGCCAGCCAGGATAATTGAAATTACCGAGACGCGCTTGGCGCGGTAAAGCTCGTACGCCATATGCTCTTGAGCCTTGAGACTCTTGACTCATTTGAAATAGAATACATATATCCTCCGCACCAAGTATTGGACCCTCGGTCTGGCAACCTCTTCCCTCCGTCTACCCTCGTCTTCAATCATAAAGATACTTCACCGGGCGCTGTGGAGGCGCGCTCGAACGATGTCCTCCAAGTCCCCTCCTCCAATAGCGAACGGCCTTACGGCCGCGCCCAAAGATCCCGAGAAAGAACGAAAGAAGGCCGAAAAGATTCAAAAGTATAACGAGAAGAAGGCGAAGGCGAAGGCTGCCAATGCACAAGCTATACAAGGCCCTTCGAAAACCATGGCCAAAAAAGCCAAGCAGGATACTTCCATGGATGAACCTTTACCGCCCTACATAGAAAAGACACCGCCCGGGGACAAGAAGAGTAAGTGGTCGCATATGCGCAGGTGACAGGACTCTCCAACTGAGTTTCTACTAGTTTTGCAATCACTGCATGATCCTCATCACTTGAACTACATCCCTAAGGTGGTAGAATCCGGATGGTACGACTGGTGGGAGAAGGAAGGCTACTTCAAGCCTGAGTTTGAGCCCGATGGCAAAGTGAAAGAGAAAGGCTACTTCGTCATTCCGGAACCTCCACCAAACGTAACTGGAGCTCTACACATGGGCCACGCTCTCCCTAACGCTTTGCAAGATAGCCTAATAAGATGGAACCGAATGCGAGGGCTAACGACACTGTGGCTGCCCGGCTGTGACCATGCCGGCATTTCTACTCAGACAGTGGTCGAAAAGATGCTGATGAGGCGAGAAGGAAAGACGAGGCATGACCTTGGCAGAAAAGCGCTGGTAGAGAGGATATGGGATTGGAAAGAAGAGTACCATCGCAATATCAACGGAGTGCTTCGGCGCATGGGTGGTTCCTTCGACTGGACGAGGGAAGCCTTCACTATGAATGCAACCTTCTCAGCTGCTGTAACGGAAACTTTCGTAACGCTACACGAAGAAGGTCTCATCTACCGGGCTAATAGATTGGTCAATTGGTGTACTGCGCTTAATACGACGCTCTCCAACCTTGAAGTAGATAACTTAGAGTTGAAAAGTCGGACGATGCTCGATATACCAGGGTATAAGAAGAAGATCGAGTTCGGGGTAATCACTCATTTTCTTTATCAAATTGAGGGAAGCGAGGAGACCATAGGTACATGTATATTGGGGTAATCCGCTGGTTTCCGTTTGCTAATCCTCCACTAGAAGTGGCTACGACGCGGCCTGAGACCATACTTGGTGATACTGGCATTGCAGTGCATCCCAAAGACGAGCGATACAAGCATTTGGTGGGGAAGTGCGCGACACACCCCTTCCTTGGACGACCGATACCCATCGTCGCAGATGAATACGCGGATCCAGAAAAAGGAACGGGTGCAGTGAAAATCACACCAGCTCATGACTTCAACGACTTTGAAGTTGGACGTAGGAACGGTCTAGAATTCATCAATATACTTAACGATGATGGTACTCTTAATGACAACGCAGGAGACTTTCAAGGTATGAAGCGGTTCGATGCAAGGTATAAGACCATCGAAGCTCTCAAAGCCAAAGGGCTTTACGTCAAATGGGAAGACAACGAGATGAAGGTACCCAGATGTCAAAAGTCGAAGGACGTCATCGAGCCTCTCATGAAGCCACAATGGTGGTTGAAGATGAAAGACGGGTTGGCACCTGCGGCGATCAAGGCTGTAAGAAACGGCCAGATCAAGATCCGACCAGAGTCCGCAGAGAAGAACTATTACTCGTGGATGGAAAACATCAATGATTGGTGTTTGTCGAGACAATTATGGTGGGGTCATCAAGCTCCAGCATACTTCATCAACATTGAGAACGAGACTGGTGATGGGAGTGACGGAGAGCTATGGATCACTGGGAGGACAGAAGAAGCGGCAGAGGAGAAAGCGAAGGCTAAATTTCCTAATAAGAAGTTCACACTTACGAGGGATCCGGACGTTCTCGACACGTGGTTCTCTTCTGGTCTATGGCCATTCGCGACATTAGGCTGGCCTAACAAGACCCACGATTTGGAGACTCTTTATCCTACATCTGTGCTTGAAACCGGCTGGGACATCCTTTTCTTCTGGGTGGCTAGAATGATCATGTTTGGCATCAAAATGACGGGGCAAATTCCTTTCCGGGAAGTTTACTGCCATTCCCTAGTCAGAGATTCGGAGGGTAGGAAAATGTCGAAATCCCTGGGGAACGTTATTGATCCTCTCGATGTGATGGAGGGTATCTCGCTTTCTAGTTTGCATGAAAAGCTAGAAGCGGGAAATCTTGATCCAACAGAGGTCGAGAAGGCCAGGAAGACCCAAAAGACAACGTTTCCGGATGGAATACCAGAATGTGGCGCAGACGCTTTACGATTTTCTTTGGTCAATTACACAACCGGAGGTAAGACATCTGCATCTACTGATCAGGGGTAGACTCATCTAATCTTCACCAGGCGGTGATATCAACTTCGATATAAAGGTCATGCAAGGCTACCGCAAGTTTTGTAATAAGATCTACCAAGCCACTAAATACGTTCTTGGCAAACTCGACTCCTCCTTCATCCCCCAAGGGCTGCCCACTAAAACCGGCCAAGAATCGCTTGCAGAGCTGTGGATCCTGCACAAACTTAACACCGCCGCCGCAGAGATTCACACAGCGTTCACCCAACGGGAGTTTTCCCAAGCAACCTCGATCACCTATCAGTACTGGTATAACCACCTTTGTGATGTGTACATTGAGAATTCTAAGGCTATACTACAAGCTGGTACTGCTTCGGAGCAAGAATCGGCCAAACAAACCCTTTACACTGCCCTTGAAGGCGGGCTCACGATGATCCATCCTTTCATGCCCTTCCTGACCGAAGAACTCTGGCAGCGCCTACCCCGTCGTCCTGAAGATAAGACACCTTCCATCGTCAAAGCAGCCTACCCGCAATATAACGCCGAGCTCGACGACAGAGATTCCGAAGAAGCCTACGAGCTTATCATGTCCGTCGCGAAAGCTATACGCCAACTAGCAGCCGAGTACTTCATCAAGGACTGCGCAACCACCCACATCCAACTATTCACCCCTTCCACCCTCTCAACCTGCGAATCACAAATCGCGGCCATCAAGTCGTTGAGCGGAAAAGCTATGCTGGGCGAGAATGCATCCATCTCCATCCTCTCGGCCACCGACTCGAAACCGGCTGGTTGCGTTGTGCAATCCGTTTCTGCTTCCGCGGCCGTATTTTTACTCGTCAAGGGCCGTATAGATATTGACGCTGAGATCAAAAAGGGGAAAGAGAAATTAGCGGCTGCGCAAGAAGGAATGGAGAAGAAGAAGAAGATAGTCGGAGGCGAGGGGTGGGAGAAGATGAGAGAGGACGCCCAGGAGACGGAGAGGAGGAAGTTGGCGAATGCGGAGCAGGAGGTCAAGGTGCTGGAAGGGAGCGTGGAGCAGTTTGAAAGACTGAGGTTGGAATGAGGATGGGTTCCGATAGGCGAAGAAGAGGACGAAAAGAAGGCGACTGGTTTGAAGTGGGCAAGAGGAGATAGAGAGCAAGAAAGGAGAGGGGTAGATGCAAGGTCAACCTTGTGTCCATCAATATACACAGATGACGATGCCTTGCGTTCGAGAAGTACGTCCGAAGGACTGTGCACATTTGCAAGAAGGGCTCCCCCTCCTCGATCCAGATCCTCGTTTCTGAATCTCATCGACCCATCCAAGGCTAAGCCATCTCGTTGAATGATCAAAGATATGAGCGTAAGGCGCATCAAGACCTGATCGACAGACAGAGTTGACAGACGCTGATGTCGAGAATCAAGAACCCACAACGGCGGCCCCCGAAGCTCGGACCTTTTGTGTCGTTTCTAGGCATCTGGCTCGATTGTATAGACATCTCAACAGATATCTAGGAAACCGCATTGTTGATTTATCGACTGATCGATCGCTCGCAGAGAATATATAAATCTACTCTATTGGTATCTATCATATGCGTTTTGTCCGCAACACAACAAAAAGCGGGATTCTGTAATCATACACCCAAACCTTTTCAAACATCGTGGTACGCCTCGAAATACCCTCGGCACCTAGAAACATTTGCCGCCTCACTCTCCCATACGATTTCTCCCGCGAATGGCGCAGCACGCCAACAACACTCCTATTTTGACCCAGCCTTCAGCCTCGTTGTAGCGTAGGCCGCGCCCACCGCGCTAATTGCACCAATGAATAGACAAACTGCAATAGCATTCGGGCCATCAGCTGCCTTTGCCACATCCTCCTCTCCCAGATCCTCATGTAGTTCCGGACTCTTGCCCGGTTCGAGGATGGAAAAAACAATCATGCTTATGAACGTGCCTACAAATTGCGGCAAAGTGGTGAAAAGATTCAAAATGCCGAGATATATACCGGCTGTTTCGCCGGTTGAGGAGTCACCGCCGGACGAATCGTCGTCTCGGTCGAGATGATTGAGGCGTAAGAATGTTGGTGAAGGCGCAGGCGAGGAGAAGTCGTCGTTGGAGTTGGAGAGGCGGCGGTAGGAGGAGCCGTTTGCGAGCATAGTCGAAGGCGTAGTAAGGCGGTTTATCTCCACCCCCATAAAGGCGAAGGGTGCCCAGCAGGCCAAGGCCCAGGGGATACCGCAGATACTCACGATAATTGTAGCCATTTGCAAGCTTCGCACAAAAGGAGCCATACACATGGCACCTGCGAAGATGATGTGGCTAACTTGCCAGGCGGTCAAGAGGTCGGGCTTGTATTTGTTGAGTGCAGTGACTATGGGAGCGAAAGGTCCTAGGAAGGCCGGCGGCCGCGGGGTGAACGGTCGAGAGCGGGAGGTATCCGGGGATTGAACGACGAAGGGTAGGAGGATGGACGCGATGAAAGTGATGATGGAAAAGACAACGAGGGACAGGGAGCCAACACGGCCAACGTCGCCGAGGGCGTCTTTGGAGGCGGAGGCATTGGTTTCGGGGTGGTAGCGGAAGTAGACTTCACCGACCCAGGTGGTGGAGTAGAAGAGGAAAGGGAACCAGCCTGTAGATGTAAGTCCTGCTGTTCGTGGGAAAGGGGGGATTTCGTTACCGATCCATGCCCAGAATTGGACCCAGCAGATTGCTTGTATCCGGTCTGGTAGGTGCATGGTAGTCTTCAAGATTTTGCTTATCATCTTCACTGCCCCTGTCTTGGCACCGTCGTCCCTGCAAGCGTGGTTAGACGCCAAAGCACATCCACTATTGGGAAGACAGCACTACCTTGCTGAGATCAAAACCCGCTCTTCAACAGCCCAAGACGTGATGGCTATGGCAAGGAGAAAAGTAAAAGCAGCAATCACGGTCAATTGCTTGAACTGAGAGTCCCCCAAAACATTTCCGAAAATGCTAACAAGATCCAAGGTTCCAGCGCCATAGCCTATGAGATGGCCAATAGCAATCATCCTGCTTGCTTAAAGATCTCAATATTAGTGTACTCTCGAAGGCAGGGAAGCAGCGCGTACCCCAGGCAGAACCAAGCTGCTGCTTTGCAATTGGGAGAGTGTCGACGATGAGACTTCGACATGAAGACTGGACTGGATTGTCACATGAGCTGTGCGATCTGTCTGTTCTATGCGAGCACAGCACCAACCTGCATTGATAGCAAAATCCACGGCGTAGATACTAAGGACAGCCAGGGCGATCGTGCATGACCTCGCCTGTTACCCATCATAAGCTGGAGGCCCCAGAGTACACAAATTCCAGTCACCAACCGTTTCCGGCTCCCTTACAAACAGCCGCACTATCTCCCCAGTCCACCCTAGTACCAACAGACAGACAGCCACGATCAGAGATCCCCCAATCATGAATGGTCTCCGTCTCCCCCATTTCGATCTCGAGTTGTCTGCCAGCACTCCCACCACCGGCTGCATGATCAGTCCTGATAAAGGTCCCGCGATCCATACCAGCGATGTTCGACTCTTAGTGAGGCCGAGTTGGAGGAGGTAAGGGGTGCAATCTGTCAATTGGCTCAGTGAAGCTGCTTCTTGTGTCGTCGTGGAAGAGGAAAGTCTTACAGGTCATCTCAATGCCCCAAGTAAACCTATACAGGGCTCGTAAGCTTTCGGGTGGGCCATCTGTAGCAAAGGCGCACTCACTGTAAGCCGACCAGACTGAACGTCAACAGTGCCATTCGAATGGACTCTGTCGAGCCTTTGATTGATGGGGTGCCGGCCCATGATGCCGCCTGAGGCATTGCCTCTTCGATCTTTCTCATATGGGTTCCTAGGTGTCATCTAGGCCATTTGAACGTGGATTATTGCTAGTTGCATGGATCGTTATGCAGGGTGACACAATGCGCTTGCTGATGGACCAGATCCTGGTTGTGGGCAGACAGGCAATTGGACGTCCTTCCGTCCTCAGTTGAAGCTTGATTAAAATTGGTATACAATCAACTTACACAGGCGTCAATTATGTGGTCTCATCATTATTTCGATTTCCAACATACATAGGTGTCTCGGCTTTTGTTCTCAGCCTCCAAGGCTGGAAACATGAAACCGCCTATCTAAATTTATGAAACCTGGCATAAACTAATACACTTTTCTTGGCGGATCTATGCCATATCTCTATACCTCGAAAGTTCTTAGAAGAATCAATCAATAATAGCTTCTTGACTTGCAGTAAGATAGAGTTCGATCGTCAATAGAACCTCGGCTGTACTATTATCAACTGAATACGCATCCTCAAAGTAGGTACGTTACAATCGATCTAGTACCAAAATCTAGATGTCAAGTCTCCATGCCCGCGGCAAGATTTAGCTGTTGGGTATGAAATCTGAGAAGGCAGGAGCGAATTACGGGTGTTGAAGGCCCAGTTGATATTCCCAAGGATAAGCGGCAGTCAGTACGGAGGTAGCCCTATATCTAACCATTGAATCAAAGCATTGGTCCCACTTCGCGAATGTCTTGAGCTAAGTCCACAATCCCCATTTACTGTGAAAGCTTTGAGCAAGGTTTAGTCCCTGGTTTTAGAGTGGTGAGAAATGACCACCGCCATAGAGTCACGGTCTCTGTGTGCACGTGCTGCTTGCTAAAGCGCAAGACGGATTGCAGCCAAAATGGGTTTTTTCTTCCGTTGTTGCAGGATTGTGGCTTGATCGACGGCCGCTGGATAGGGCAGGAGAACATGCCTGAGAACAGGGAGACGATTGCTGAACGAAAGAATTGACCTGCCAAGAACATTGATGAGAGCAGTGTTGCCCTGCGATACAACAGGGTCATGACCCCGTCCCTGAAGAAACTTCAGAATCCACAGAGTGGTGAATGAAAAATTGGAGTGGGCTATTGGAGGTGATGAAAGAAACAGCTTGGCAAGGACTGGCGTTCTTTCTCTGTGGGGCACGTCTAGCATCGGCGCTCTACAGCACCAGACCGAGCAGAGCCGGAATCCCAGTAAACAGTTTCCGCGCACGAAGCTTCGACGTCCCCAGAAGCCTTCTGGACAATACCTACACCATGCTGAGAATCGGTCCTCTGGGTTTCGGGTTGAGATCGGAAAATTGAAAGTGGGGGGGAGATACTTAGCCAATAGAAGACGTTACCAAGAAGGTGAAGAACAAGACGGCCGGAAGATCCAGACAGCTGCAGGCTAAGTGTCACGCAGAGAAAAACCCTCATGATGATTGATGGGTGGATGTTGAAATCTCTAGGTAAGTACAGCAGAATCACTGGGCTGTGGATACCATGGAAATTGAAGGACTGGAAATGGACTTTGTTTTGAAACAAGTCGATGCCAAGAGCAGTAGCGCCTTGCGCCAAGAATAAGGCTGTGTTTCAAGCTTCGTGCTTTTCTACCTACGCAGACTCGCAGAGCATCTTGCCCAATTCTTTGGAAATCATTCAGAGGGAAGTGGGCTGCACGGCCATGCAGAATGGTAGAAGTGCTCTCACTTTCTAGGCTTGCTTATTACCGTGGTCATTTCAGCTCTCATGTTGGGTTTCTCCTCCTTGCTCGATGCTGTTTTGCTCAGACCGTGGTCCTGCACCCCTGCAGCAATGCTACATCCACCGACTATAGGGGGAACATAAAGCCGGAAGAGTCATGTTCTGGCTTACCGCTTACCGTGCCAATGAGCTTCCCCTCTCACCGCTGCCAGCCATATATGCATCGGCCGTAGCTGTTTGATGTTCAACCCGGAAATGCTCGGCTTGGCAAGATTACCTTAACATCTACCTGCAGCAATATTGCATCGGTAGGCTGCATCTCCCCACCTTCTGCATGATGCAGGCAGGCACAATGCAACGTCCCTTTTCCAGAGTTGATACCGCGAGCCTGCGACAAGTCGCTGCCGAATCCCCACAGGCGATGAGGTCTCGTGGGCAAGTGCCTTTCTTTGGTGCTTTTGCAGATGAATCTGTTTCAATCGCTCGTAAAGGCCCAAGTAAGACTGCGAGACACGTGCGGGTCGAAGTGACCTCTATGCCTTCATGACAGCGAAGAGACACGTTTGTCTCGATTACTTGGCACATTCACAACCTGTCAACGAGGACCATGAGACTCAATATGATATGGGCACACCCCTCAAAGAAGCAAGAGAACCCAGGTCATTTAATTCTAGATTAGACTCTCATCTCCGGCCTCATCATTTCCCAACTTTCCCCTCACGGAAGAAGCTCTCCTTTTGAGGGGTAGTGACAATGCTCCAGTGTGAAGTCTTTCCAAGAGGGTATATAATATAATCCTGCGTCCTCATTTTCCTCAACCTACATTACACATTTCGCGGACGGTGTCTTCAAACATTTGCATCTTACCACAGTCCTTCAGCTCATAAATATCAAAAAGTCACACACTCATTCACGATGCACTTCTTGACCTTCCTATTGACGCTCGGCTTCGCCCTGTCCGGTGTCCAATCTATCCCGGCCCCCTCCCAACCCTTCCCTGAGGTCGATCGTGCCTCGAATCCTCTCAACGCAGCTCGTGCCCTTCCGAGCGGTGACCTATACCCACCCCAGCCCCCAGGAGCTGGCCCGGGCAAGCGTGGACTTCTCTATAACACCGAGTCCAATGTTGAGTGGAGCAACTTCTACGTCGAGAGTCCCTATGTCACGTACGGGAGCAATGGGGATGTCATACGTGGCGATGAGATCAACGCCTGGTTCTCATACGTTCCCACCATTACCGTCGATGCCAAGCTGGAGAACAGCGACTGGAACGACACCGTCCCAATCTTGATCGAGGGTGGAACCAAAGCGATGTTCGCGTAAGTGCTCCCAACATTCAACAGAACCTCTCCATCTCTGCTGACCAGGTATACAGTTCGAACGAACCCGACAACCCATCGCAAGCTAACCTCACCCCAGCCCAATGTGTCACTGTCTACAAGAGGTTCATGCAGCCCTACTACGGCACCGTCCAACTCGGCACTCCGGCAGTCACCAACGGTGGAGGTCAGGCAGGCTTGACCTACCTCGACGACTTTGTCCGCCTATGCACCGGTTGTGCTTACAACTTTGTGAACGTGCACTTCTTCGTCGACCGGTCCGAGATGAGCGTCACTCAGTACATTGAAGCGCTGACGACCTACATCGACGTCACCGTACCAGCAATCCAGGCCAAACACGCGCCGCTGGTCGGACTACCGATCGCCGTCGGCGAGGTGGGTATCCCTTCACTCAAAATCTCCCCCCGCTCGCACCACCGACTGACATCCTCCCAGTTCTGGCTCACGGGCGCTTCGGAGGCCGAAGCCGGAGCGCTGATGGACGAGCTCCTCCCCTGGCTCGACGGCAACGCCAACGTCCTGTTCTACCAAGCCTGCGGCGGCTTGTTCGAGGGCGGATTCGTCGACGCTGCCGGGACGGGACTCACGCCGGCCGGAACGGCCTACGGCGGGCTGGCCCTTTGAGCGGTGATGGTGCAGGGGTCGTGTGGAAGCAGGTTGCTGGACGACTGATTGATTCATACATGCACGCATGCGGGAAAGAGGCTCCGCTCTGTATTCTGACGCGACTAGGGTGAGGGTTGATACCCACGTAGTTGCGGAAAAGTAGAACAATGAAAACGATTCCCTTTGCAACCATGATCGACCTGAACCCTCCATGAACGAATTCCCCCAACAATCCTTGCGTGACCGACTCTCCGGGAGACGATGTTGAAACACTGGACGGATGCAGGCGAGATTGTAGATACAACAATCGCGCACGTATTATGGGGAAAGTCTAATTAAACACAATCATCAAAACGGAAATGGGGAATCTCTCAAAGCAAATCAACCCTCGCATCCCCGCTCCCCCAACCCCCCTCCCCTCACCCCCTCACACCCCCACCTTCCCCACCCCCCTCCTTCTTCCCGCCCCCAAAAAGATGCTTCGCCTTCTCCTTCAACCCCTCATGCTCATGCCCCGCCGGGCGATCCCGGTGCACGTTGCCTTCGCCGCCCCTACCGGTGTGGAAGTTCTCATACGCGGGCTCGGGCCGCATCGCCGTCTCGGGCACCACGTCGTCGTCGCCGGGCATCGCGCTGCCCTTGCGGGGTTTGAGGCTGGGGGATTCCATGTTGCCGGCGCCGCCTCGCTACACGTGCGCGGGGATACTGGTCAGATGGATAGGGTTGCGGGCGGTGGATGCGGGAGGTGGTGGTGGTGGTGGTGTGTTTGGAGGAGAAAGTGGGGGTTGGGGGGGGGAGGGGGACGTACGCCGGAGGAGTAGGGCCCGTCGCCTTGGTCGCCGAGGGCGCCCTCGCGGACGATTTCGCCGTCCGTGTAGGCTTTTTCGTCGTGCTCGATGTTGCCGGCTCCTGGGGTGGAGGGATGGGTTAGCGATTGTCAAGCGTGAAAGGGTGGTCAAAGAAAGGGGCTCGGGTTTGTAAGGGGGTTGTTACCGCCGCGGCCGTGGGAGACTATTGGCTCAGAAGACATTGTGTGATGTTTGGGTTTGGCTTTCTGATGGGGATCTCAGTGTACCGAGGAGAAATTAGTAAGTGATTTGTAAATGTGAATGGTGGATTGCTGGAATGTAATACCTGGAAGAGTAAGGCGCTGGTTTTTTTATCTTTAACTGCAGGTTTGGTTGGAGTGAAAAGAGTGGAAACTTGATACTTTCTCCATTGAAGTCTTCATTTACCAGAACCATGACGTCGGGACAGTGGTGGGGCAGTCTCGGGATGATGTAATTAGATAGGGTTTGCAGTGACAGATGATCTCCTGCTAAGATATTAAGATATCGATATCGAAATTACGGTTAAATTTATCGAATTTCACTTCGATAATGTAGTTAATTAAAATGGATCATCATTAGTAATTATAATTTTTAGTATTGACCGTGGGCAAATCCAAAGAGGGGGGGCGGAGCTAGCCCCGTGGCCGGACAGCCAGACAGCCTACAGGCCGCCCAATGCTAATAAGACAAGTAGTGTAGCTAAAGATGAAAGAACAAGGTTCTGATTCCAGAGCAGGTAGGAATACAAGAATACTGGGTCCGAGGAGTGCTCAAATATGACTTTGCATTGCTTTTTTGTGAGGGCACTGACGCCTCTCACTGCCGCTCCTTTACCGCGAGGTTATATGATGAGTAGGAGAGTGCTGATAGACAATCATTACTGACTTTGATTGGACTAAGCAGTCCGTTTACCAAATGGCGATTGTGTGCATGATACTGTGCAGTAGTAACGATATACTGAGATCGTGCAAATTCTGTACATTACTCACTCCTAGCTGGACGGATTCTAGGACTATTATGCTCGTCCAATTGAGCACGTAGTACATCAAGTGTTTACGTCTCGGTGTTCGTGAAATGTGGTTGAGTCGGGAGTCTGGCTCAAGGTCCCTCTAGTAAGGACGCGAGCAAGGAGGTGTTTAAGACTGTGGATATTGTCTGTATCGACCGTGATAGTCGAGAGTGGTAGATGCGAGGTGCGCTTGCTTGTGAGACGAGAATTGCCGAGACCGGTACGCGCGAAGCGTGAAGCGTGAAGCGGCCTGCATCAGACTAAGGAAAGCTGACTATGAAATCCTCAGGGCCACTAAACCGTGCTCCGTGGGCGGCGCGCACCTGGTTGCTGATCCGGAATGAGTCCAGGGCGCATTTTCTGTCTTCTCGGGGCTTGGCGCTAGGCGCATGGGAAATTCTGTTGGATTTGATACTATGTATCACCGAAGAGCAACAAACACGGCTTCAGCGATACCATATACACTACATACATGCGCCACACACCCTTGAAGTTCAAGCTTGTAGGGTCGGAAGCCTTCGAAATGCGCACAAGCTCCTCCTATGTACCCTTTTTCCAACTCGACATCTAGAGGTTTGCGGTCTGTTTAGGCGGTGGAGCGGCGCCTCCTGTGGTTGGGAGACCCATGAAGATCTTGAAGCTATCGTAGATACCCCATTCTGATCACCCTGTTAGCATACGTAGAGACCGTCGATTCGAGAATAGACTTACGCAAGGATGTCAATGTGCCTATCATGAAGATTCTTAGCACGAGACCGTTCCAGAGGCCCCCAAATCCGATATCCTTGTAAATGCGGCCCGTGGCAGCTCCGAAGGCCTCTCCAGGCTGGCGATTTGCGTTGAGCTTGCTCACCATGACATCTGCTGGATGAGACACGATGGCACAGAGAATACCAGCTGAAAAGTGTCAGCCATCAATGAAATTCACTCAAATGTTGAGTATCAGGCATACCAGCATAGCCTCCAGCGAAAGAGACAGCGGTCTGTGTCCCTCTGCCGTAATCTGACTTCTTACCGGGCATATAGCCATATATCATCTCAACGATTGTCTCGAAAGAGGCGAATTTCATCATGGTGTACGGGATTTGACGGCCCCATAGAGGATACAGACCTTTGTAAAGCCTGTCGAGCCAAATTAGCAAAATCTTAAATATCAAGTTCAGGCCTTATGCTCACCCTGCGGTGCCCTCCTTAGCAGTGATTGTTGAAATTCCGCTGAAAGTCCCAGAGGCAAAGGGAGGAATGGTGGTCTGCATTCGCACCTTCACAGCCTCAAATGGACAAAGTGCTATATCAGCAATGAATTCGGCCGAAGCGCTGGCGGTGAGGTACAGCGAGGTCTTGTATTTGTAGGCGTTTTGTTCTCCAGCAAGATCAGAGTAGAACTTCTTGAAAAACTCGTATCCGCCGTACTTGAATGCACCTTGCGCCTGGATCCGATGAGTACAGTCATTCTTGTACCTCTTTAGAAAAGCATACCGAATAGCCAAAGAACGTTGGGCCCCACCCAGTGAAAATGCCACGAAGACCCTCCGCTCGACCAATCTTGCCCCAAGCCTCAAAATTGCCCTTGTACATCTTCGAGTCGACCTGACGACGGCATTTGACCAGGTCCAATGGGGTTACGGCAGTATGGGTCAACCCCTGCCTTACTCGTGAGCTACCAACCCTGTGCTGGCGTTTCGGCTATACCCACACAGGCAACAAGACCTCCGAAAATGCAAGCAGCGTAATACTTGGCTGAGTAGAGCTCTATCTGCCCTGTTTTTGCTTGTGCTGCTGCGCTAGCTTTCTTGATCTCCCTTTGGGCTTCTTCACTCAAGGCATTGGCCTTGCTTTTAGCATCTTCGGTGACGCTCCATATTGAGAATTGGGGTCTTGCAGTTTTTATCTGCGAAGATTTGGGGGTCGACTCCTGCGATCTGGTAGTCGTCAATGGGTGTCTGCAGGAGAAGACCTCATTAATATCGCTCGAGGTGGGGAAAAGCATGATAACCCTGCTACTTTCAGCATATGCAGCCCATCGATGTCTTTTTTCGTTCCTAACTCACAATTTCGCAGATACCCAACTTCGCAGCAGTTTCTCGATTTGCCAATGGCAAAACAAAGGTTTGAGGCTTCCTGGAAGAAAGGAAGGTGGGACAGCTTGGCCAACAGCACTAAACCTTTGACGTAGGATCACCGGCAGGGGTCATTGATCGAGACTAGCAATATCTATTTCGAGAAAAACAGCAATACCTTACAGGCGGGTATGCTCTTGTTTATATAAAGTACAGAGATTGCATGGAGACCAAACCCTCCAGGATCCTCCAGGGTGGTTCCGAGTCTTTCCGAGTGCGTGATATAGACCGCACTGGGGCCGAGATGTAAAGCTGAGTAAATCAATAATGATGAGACATACACTCAAACTTTCATATTCATGATTCGTTTTATGATTCGTATTATCAGCGATGAAGAGCAAGTTTTACACTCGCAATTCGGGATCAAAATTTGTCATTTTGGAGTTACACAATATGATAGAAATTCACCTACCCCTCGTACGTTGAGGGATGCTTCCACCCACGATTAAAAATCAAGCGAGGCAATTACCCGACAAATTCCCTCATACAATAATTGGACGTCGACATTCCCTTGCTTTAGGCTCTGGAATATGCATCGGTGACTACGGAGGCGCAGCTGAGCAGCAGCTTTGTTGACCATGGCCTCCATCGTCCAGGCACATAATCTTGCGCCATCCCAGCCCCTAGCCACTTCTCAATGGGCACATAAGTATCGTGGGGTATGTTTGCCTCGGTCCTGGAATCGCAGTGATCACTGCAGCTATAGAATTGATATGCGGTCAGGCTACGGTAGAAGACCTCGACCCACCTCCCGCACTCTCCTCGAAACCAACAGACTCCATCTCCGCCGCTCTCATGAATGCATACGAACGCGACTACACCCATCTCACAGTCGTCTCTGAAGACACCCGTGCTCTGTTAGGCTACCTCAACATCCCTCGGTTGAAAGAATTGTTGAAGAATGGCACAGTCAAGGACTCCGACTACGTCGAAAAAGCTATGCAGAAATTTCAACGGAAAGGCAACGTCTACAAGGTCATCACCATGGACACACCGCTGGAGGAGCTGGAAGCGTTCTTCAACGGAGGAGTCAATGAAAATGGACCGCAAGACTTTGCG